AATTATAAATATAATCCTTACATTTAATTTAATTCCATTGCATTAGTAAGCGAGTTTTAAAATGTTTCTTAGCCAAAATGTTTTCGTTTACGTTTTCAATGTTTTGTCCACCATCTTGATTTTGTACAGGAAGTTGTAAACACCCGCTAACACAGTCAGTCCTAAACTAAACCAAATAGTTATCGTCTAAAATATAATGGGCATATACATATTTTTAAAAACATTAAAATTGCCTGTAAATGTAGATATTCGCAAATAGTTTAATATAGAGACTTTAAGCCTGAATTATATTCAGTCAATTATTTTCTTAAAATGGAAAATTAGAAATGGAAATGTTGAAAATGTTACTAGCGTTCTTTAACTTAGAATGTGAAAGCCTACTTAAATGTTTTTAGCTTTGTATGATAGAGCGAGAGATAGCCAATTACAGAGGACGATAAAATGCAATCATGACTTATATTAGGAATTGTTATAATCACTTATTAGCTCAACCAAATTGACTTGTAACAATGAGATTGTGAAGGTTGAACATACAGTCTTATTCTTACGCTGAATTTCTACATAGAATTATGGACCAGTGTAACCACTAGCATATTACTAACCAACTAACCAGTAAATTAAATCGTTCTGGAAGCAAATCAGAGGCGTAGCTAAGGTGGGGCAGGGGGTACAGATGTCCCTGGGCGCCAGACTAAAATGTGCTTTGATATTATTTTATTGATTAAAATAATGTGTTTGAGAGTTGAAAAAAGAAAGGAAGGCTCTTTAAACACGAATCTTGTCCCCGGGCGCCAAACACTCTATCTTTGCCCAGGGCTGCCGCTAGGAGGGTGCGGGGCGTTGGGCAAATTGAATTTCGCAGGGCCGTTGACGTTATATATTCCGCCGATAGGATATTAAGACACTTTATAGTCGTACTGGGGCCTTGCTGGTCATAATGGTACGCGTCATAGCGGATATTTGTTCACTCGCTTAGTTTCCGAATATTGTGTTGACTGGATTAGGAGCTATTATTAGGCTTAGGTATAGTATAAATATACTACAGCATGCGTGGCGACGGCCCTGCAGGCTTATGTTGCGCATACGGATACTGCAATGCGCTTAGAGCAGGGTTTCTTTCATGCATCTCTCCGAGGGCACTGCCCCCCCCCCCCGGGTAAATCAAGTGCCCATCCCCCCAACCCGGAGCGAAATGAGTAAAACACTTAAAAGGAATGTTAATTTTTTTCTGAAAACCGATGCGATACATGCTCTCAACTTTTCTACACAACACGGTCAGATGACCTATTATTAGATTATTAGTGGCAGATGAAGTCTATTGTTAGAACTGTCGCTCAGTTTCATAGCTCAGTTTTGTAATAGTAATAGTACTAGTAGTCGGCAGCGCTAAGTAGTTCCTAAGGTCTGCATTATTATTGAGCGACTGCTATGAATGCCATCTGTACCTACGCAAACGTGTTCAGTGTTCACACAGCAGTGTAAAATATAGCAGACTACGCGACTGTGATTTCTGTCTTTCAATCGCTCTCTCCATTCCCAACAACACCCCACCAACTATATTTCAGTCTCCTTTGTTTATATACATCAGCTGACCTACCTAGCGTTTGCTATAGTAAACTGAGACGCGAAGCGATTGGCCTAACTTTTTTAATACTTCTCAGAGGCGTAGCGAGGGGGGCAGGGGGGACAGATGTCCCCGGGCGCAAGCTAGTTAGGTGCGCAAAAATATGTTTTTATGTTATATTATTGTTAAAAATAATGTGTTTGAGAGTTTAAAAAAAGAAAAAGGGACGCTTTAAAATGGATCTTGTCCCCGGGCGCGAATCTTGTCCCCGGGTGCCAAACACCCTCGCTACGCCTCTGATACTTATATTCTATATTGCATCTGCATGTTGTTGTTTTTTTTAAAACAAATAATAATATTAAAATATCTCATTTACAAAATAATATTAATAAGTAATGATGAATTAATTCCATTAAATTTTTGTGATAATCAACGACCGGTTGTTTGTTTCAAAAGCAAATTTTAGCGCCTAGCTCCTTTAAATGGACGTTTTATCAATTGATGCTAAATCGAAAACGTTCTTATTGTTTTGACCAGAGAGGGGTCATTTGGTTAGAGAATATGCCGTTAGATATCTTATTATTGGAATACGTAAAAGCAAGCACGAAGAGTCCGTGTGTGCAGTAAGATGTGGTGTATTTAAAATCGTTAGAATATGTCTATACAGGTGTTACGACACTAGAATGTGGATACTTATCATGTGCATACTTATCACCCTGTTGATATACAACAGTACAGTCGGAGGTGGGGTTTACTATTTGTGTTAAATGTCCAGTTATGCATGGGTGGGGAGGGGAGATAGTTAGATGGTCGAGTGCGCTTTGTTTTCTGACTGTTAAATGTCCAGCCAAGCAAGTTTGGGAATGTGAAAGCAAAGGGGAACCTCAAATTTAGTGTTGGTTTGGCAATAAAGAAATCAGGTTCAAAGATTAATTATGACTTTTATGACTTTAAATGTTTAGATTGAACCAATCAAAGGTATCACTTTATGGGATATCCACTGAGTTGAAAAGGACAGATGATTGGATACTCTTACCAAAGTTTATCCTATTGTTTAGGGATGGTGATATTTGCTGGTCAACACTAAATAATGATGATGCACAATGATTTGAAAGAAGAAGACGTAATCATCTTATGCACGTTGAAAATTAGAACAAATGAGAAAAAAAGTGCATACATTGACATGTATTTACATGTATGCAGAGTTTCTTTCAGGCATATCTCCTAAGGGGGGGGGGGGGGGGGAGTTGGTGATGCACACTCTTCACTCCTCTGTCATATGGCATTTTCTTTAAGTGTCCTGCCCAGCGTAGTCTGCCCTTTGTTATTTCTATTATCGTGGATCCTGAAATAGATTGTACAATTCCTGGTTGGTTCGTATTCTCCATCCATATTCATCCTTGTTTGGTCCATATATTTTCCTGAGAACGTTTCTCTCCCATGTGTTTAATAGGTTTTCTGCTGTTTTGTTAGGGTCCAAGTTTCACTTGCATATGTTGCAAATGGTCTGATTACATTTTTATAAATAGTTTTCTTTGTTACTCTTGTAATGTTTTTACTTTTGAGTATTTTCTGACTACTGAAGTATGCCCTGTTTCAGGCTGATATTCTTTCTTTTATTTCCGCTAGTAATTTGTTTCTTTCATTTAATAAAGATCCCAGGTATTTGAATTGATTTACTTTTTCAAACGTATGGTTTCTAATTTTATTGGCTTAATCTGTTTGTTCTTCTTTTATCATAGTCATGCATTTTGTGTTTTGGTTAACTTCCAGCCTTGCTGGTAGTGAGGCGTCCTCTAATTCAATAAAGGATTTTGATACGTTTTTAATACTTCTCCCTAGCAGTGCTATGTCATCAGCATATGCAAGATACTGAAGGGGTTGATATGAGACTGTGTGTGTGTGTGAGAGAGAGAGAACCCTACTTCAAAAACTATGATTTTATGATGAAATATAATTTGAAAACAGATTGCCAATGTTTGAGACTTAACAAGAACTGTATTAAAATTATAGACCACTATTCGCCATAAATTTACAGATAATCAAATATATCGAGCGTATCCGTATTTCATTAGTTCGACTAATTGTAATCGGTGAAAGGCACAAGTTACTATTCTTAATTGTCTAAAATGTTGTCTTAACTGTTTAAAAAAGATATTCTAAAATGATCATTTACCCCCACCCCACCCCAAAAAAAAAAAAATTTAAAAAAAATGAATGTCAAATTTTTTAAAGATGTTCGTAAATTTACGATTTGTTAGTAACCCTGCTTTAGCTGAAGCGGAGAAGCTTGGTCATTTATGCAAAGGTTTGATTTATTGTTGCTTAATTATTGTTCGCCACTGGCCATACTAGGCTTAAACTGATTGATTTAAGCCGAGTCAGTTTTCGCTAAAAATAAGTGCGAGCTGCGCTCATTTCGAAATTTAAATTTAACAAGTGGGAGGGAAAAGAAAAGTCCTTGAGAAAATTGCACGTGGGGGAAGTTCAACTCTCAAGGCGCGCTCTTAACTAATTAAGATGTAAAGGCGGCTCCTTCATAAGCACTAGGGTAAGGAGCTTTTAAATTAAAAAAAAAAATTGCATGATATTTCCATATGATAAAAAGTTGCGATAACTTTAATGTTTCTCCAACTAAGAATTTGTAGCGTTATTAATTTTACTTTACTGGCCCCGTTACTAATAAGGGGTCTCATCGAATTTTTTAAGTGCAATTGACTATAATTTTTTTTTGTTCTTTTCTTGCTAGTGTTCGTGATCGCCTTGTAAAGCTGGAGATTCGTAGTTTTAGATTTAGGCCAACAGTGCGTTTCGGTTGTTGTAAAGCATTGTGAGGAGGTTTCAAATAGACTATTGTGAATGATATAAATTGTGGGAAATCCCAACCTTGTCCCGTGGATTAATTTCAAAATTCTTACATTAAATAATTTTTAACCCTAACACAAGGCCATCATGTCGTTTTGAGAGCCCCCGCCCCTCACTTTTTCAACTTTTCCGTTTTGTGCCCCTTTCTTTCAAATTGGATCACTTAATTTTGTTCACATCACAACTTTGGACCCCTTTAATATCATAGGTCCCCTTCATCTGCAGGGATCACAGGGTCACTCAACGGGTCTGGCTGTCCACTTAGACTCAGGCCTACTTATCAAAGACTTAACTGACTGGTGTGAATGAATCTCGTGCTAATTATTTATTCGATATTTTTTAATTAACAAAGCATATGATTTTTAAATCAGCTTTTTTAAAAAAAGTCTTTTATGTTTATATTTTAACGATTTACCGAATAATGTCCCAAATCATAAATCTACGTACAATTGATAGAATGCCAACGCTAAGTAGCCCGAAAGTGGTGATATTAGAAACGCCCCTGTATTTCTTTGGTGACATTATTTCCATCCAATAAGAAAGCGCACGTGCAGAGGCATTATGGGATTGAGTTTGTTATTGCGCATGTCATACTCAGTGTTAACCGCTTTCAAAGTAGAGAAGTAGTGTTGGTAAATTCTAATATAATAAATTAAGCAATAATTAGAAAAATGCGTGAAATTGTTCATTTACAAGCTGGTCAATGCGGAAACCAGATAGGCGCCAAGGTAATAAAGGAATTACTTTTCTCTGATCAAAAATGCGTTCGTTTTAACCAGTTATCATAGGCTGTAGGCATAGCCTAGTACTAGTAAATACTAAATGCGCAGAACGGTTGACGAGTATGCGAGTCATTGAGTTCAGTAGGTAAATTATCGTTTCAGCAAATAATTATTACCAATACATTTCATTTCAAGATGCCAGGTTCAACTTTGGTGCTTAGCTGTACACTGTACTATGTCAGTTACTAAGAAAACAGAAACATTTCGGGTTATCACTTCTTTTAATATGAGACTAAAACTAAAGTAAGACTATAGGCCTAGTCTAGTAAATACGCAGTACGTGAGACGTGAGTCATTGATTTTGATTGAGTTCAGTAGGTAAATTATCGTTTCACCAAATAATTATTAGGCTAAACAATAAATTTCAAGATGCCAAGTTCAACTTTGTGGTGCGTATCTGCACTATGTCAGTTACAAAGAAAACGGTACAATTTCGGGTTATCACTTCTTTTAAATATTAAAATAATAATATTAATATCAATGATTCTCACACTCAAATGACAGCTTGGGGGACGGTGCGCAATTGAGCAGTTGATGATTTTTATTTTGAAGAAAAAAAAGGCTTGAAAGAAAATCTCTAAGTCTGCAGCACTGCAGCTAAATTATTGGCAGAAAGTTGCACCAGGGCAAGACTTGAATCAAGCAACTCTCAATCTGTGTTATAAGTTAGTTATATCTATTAATTTAAATGAAAAAGACAATAATTGCCAAATCATGTTGGCAATTGTTTGCAAAATTATTCAAGACACCTTTGTCACAAGTTATTTTTGAAATGTAAAAATTAATCAATAATTAATTTACTTACATTTTCGCATTTAAATTAGCCTAATGTTTGAATAGAGTCACCAAGTGATTATCAGAATGTAAAAATTAATTCCTACCTAGGTCCAGGAGGTTCTTAAAGAATAGTTACAATCACATCCGCAATCTCCTGAAGAATAATCACCTAAAGTAAGCCTAAAGGCATTCAACAATAGGCCCCTTAGTCTTAGCCTTAGGCCTATACTATATAACTTTTTGCAATGGCAAGTGTTCTCAAAAGAGCCATTTCATGTTTTAGCATTTCCTTCAAAACAATATCTACAACTAACCAGACTCCTTAGCATGCAAATGGCATGGCCACCACTGTGTGGCACTTAGGATTTATAATATCAATCATTCAGTGTCACTGTTAAGGCTGTTAAGATGGCTCACATTCAGGAGTAGATACCTGCAGCATTAATTTATATGCCAGTAATTTTAGGCCTATACTATAAGACACTTTGAGATGGAAAAGTGATGTAAAATAAATAATCATTACTAACTTGATGATTCTTCTAGAGTGGGAAACACTCTAGTCTAGAGTGTTTCCCAACCATATTTGCCCCATGTTTGTCTCTTCACACCAACACACACACTCACACCCCATTAGAAGAGCTTTTTAAAAATATATTGGTTTCCTTGCAACCTTCAGACTTCAGGGTAAATGGAATTATAATTTTCACTTCCTGCGCCTTGAGCCTTGAGATTCAAGTTGTAAGATAAAAAAAAAATATAGACTAATTTACAATATATGTGAAATATAATTGTATTGAATTTAAATACATATGGTGGTGAACAAAAAAATTGGGCTAACTTAAAAAGAAGTGACTTGTCTAACATTGCCCACTATTTCACCAACATTGGGAAATACTGGTAGGCTATGCTGCTATACTATACTATATAATCAAGCCCAGTGATGATTGCCATCACATAGCAACGGGAGGCCCTGGGCAAAGTAATGCACTGAGCCCCTTGGCATTGCCCAGGTAGGCCCATTCGTTAAGCGGTACTACTAATGGAGCACTGGCCCATATCTAAATTTTTGGCGGTTGCCATGTTGATTTGTTGAATTGACTAAACAAGTAAACAATATATTTACAATAAATAAAAATGATGTAAATATTTTAATTTCTATAAATAAATGTATTATAATTTAATTATATTTATGATAATGATTATCAGTAATAGTCCTTACCCGGTACTAATTTGTTCAAAACCAATATGAGAAATGGGGGAAAATGTAAACTGTTTGATAAAATTATTTTTATTCTTCTATTATTTCTGTTTGAACAAATTGGCTTTGTGCTAATTTCCAGAAGCAATTTATGCTAGATACATTGTCTCATTAAAACATTTATCATCCAACACTTAATCATCATATTTAACATTATAATTAAAAATTTATAAATAATTTTCAGTTCTGGGAAGTTATTTCTGATGAGCATGGGATTGATCCAACTGGCACTTACCATGGTGATAGTGATCTACAGCTTGAGAGAATAAATGTCTATTATAATGAAGCTTCAGGTTAGTCCAATAATTGTCGTACAATGCTACATTTATCTTTTTTTTTTTTCTACCCTACAATTTGATTTTGAAGATACTTAAGTTATCTCTTGTTTATATTAATATTATAGAAAAAGTTGAATGTTATTATTTTTTAGGAAAATTTTTATTTTTTGGAGGGTTTTTTTTGTTTTGTTTAGGGTTCATTAATTTATATTTATTTAATATTTAGAGGCAACAAGTAGTACATTATGACAATTAAAAAAACAACTTTCTTTATGTCAGCTCATGTTAAATTATTACAATTATATTTTGACAGGTGGTAAATATGTCCCAAGAGCTGTGTTGGTGGATCTTGAACCTGGTACTATGGACAGTGTCCGTTCAGGTCCCTTTGGTCAACTATTTCGGCCAGACAATTTTGTGTTTGGTCAATCAGGTGCAGGTAACAATTGGGCAAAAGGTCACTACACAGAAGGTGCTGAGCTGGTGGATTCAGTCTTAGATGTTGTCCGTAAAGAAGCTGAAGGGTGTGACTGCTTACAAGGTAAGAATGAGATTTTTAAAAAAACTTAAGCATTTATTTCTCTGATTTATGTTCAAACAATTGTTCATTATATAATTTATCTCTAACTTGCTTTGATCTTAAATTTTGCACTACTTAGGGTTTCAGCTCACTCACTCACTTGGCGGTGGAACTGGTTCGGGAATGGGGACCCTACTTATTAGCAAGATTCGTGAGGAGTATCCTGATAGAATCATGGTCACCTTCTCTGTTGTACCATCTCCTAAAGTAAGTCATTGTTTGCAATTAAACACCACTGCATGCGGTTAGAACAGGGGTGGGAAAACGGCGGCCCGGCAACTGATTATTAAGTGGCCCTCTAAGGCATTTTCAGTATAAAAAACAATTTTGGTTTTAATTCTATATCTATAGTAAAAAAAAAAAAAAAAAAAAAAATATTTTTTTGAAATAAATTGTAGTTTTTTTTTTTTTTTTTTTTTTTTTTTATTTTATTTTTTTTTTTAACTGATTATTAAGTGGCCCTCTAAGGCATTTTCAGTATAAAAAACAATTTTGGTTTTAATTCTATATCTATAGTAAAAAAAAAAAAAAAAAAAAAGTATCTTTTCGCAGTAAATTGTAGCTTGTGTCAACTCTTTAGCTTGCTAAACCTCCAACTTTATCTGCGCACAAGATCACAGAGATTTGTTTCTTGGTTTTTAAGTGAAGCTTCTGGATGCTAAAGATCAAATTTGAACAGGAATTTAGTGTAAAATAGACATTGCCTATTAAACAGTTTTTTTTTTACTCAATTTAATATGGTTAACTTGCAGTTACAATCTGATAGTCTAAATTTGATTAAAACAAAGTCCAATATTTCAGCGTTTCTTGCCAGAATTAAGCAAATGAAGCAAAACACTGGGCGGTAAGAATTTTCCCAGTTCCCCAATTTGTCACAAACTGCTAGGAAGACGACATTTCAACCTACGTTTAACATTTAAATGGCTTCTATTCAGATTTTGAAACTAGGTTTGAGGATGTTTTGACTTAACTAGACATTATTAACCCAGGATATTTGAAATTAAACCTAACTAAATTGATGCCAAATGTTGAAAATTTATTCTTAAAACAGGTTCATCCCTCACACTAAAAGCATTTATTTTTTGCTTAGTTATTTTATGTAGAAGAAAGTTAATTTTAATTTGGTTCATTTTAATTTGAATTTAATTTATAAATGTATAAAACTTAACATCTTTTTTATTAAAGTTTTTCACACTACACTTCATTACTGTTATAAATTTAAATCTTTCAAAGGGAGTAGTACTATACCGACTGTCAAAAATACAGTTGAAGTTAATGAATTTGCAAAAAATCAATATCGTTTAATATCAGGTAAGCATGGGGTCTACCCAAAACCAAAAAAACATGGCAAGTGGTCTATGAGACAACCGTTTGGGAACCTCTGAATTTAGACAGTACCTATTACAATAATAAGTTAAGGAACATCCATATAGTCATACATGCTATTACAAAAGATGTTACAGTGGCTATTATTCAAGGGGTAAAAATAACATTTTGAAACAATTTTAATACCCAGGTATCGGATACAGTGGTGGAACCATACAACGCTACTCTGTCAGTTCACCAGCTGGTGGAAAACACAGATGAAACCTACTGTATTGACAATGAAGCACTTTATGACATATGCTTTAGAACTCTAAAGCTGACAACACCAACCTATGGAGATCTTAATCACTTGGTCAGTGCAACCATGTCAGGAGTTACAACTTGTCTCAGATTTCCAGGACAGTTAAATGCAGACTTAAGAAAATTGGCAGTCAATATGGTACCGTTCCCTCGTCTTCACTTCTTCATGCCTGGGTTTGCACCTCTTACCTCTCGAGGTAGCCAGCAGTACAGGTAAAGAATGGGTTATATATTCCAATATATACAATTCTAAATAATTTCCACTTAATTATTTTCAGTCAAAGCGTGTGCAAAAATGAACATAATTTAATAATATTCTCAAGTATATGTTGTTTTTATTACATTACAAGGTATAATAATAATCTACATTTTCTGGGAATATATTTCATTTATATTCAGAGAAATTACGATTGTTGAATAAGACTACTAAACCCAAATTAGGTAAAATTTATGATTCTTTTCTATCATATAATTATAATAAAATGGTAACTTTTAAAATATCTGTTCATTTTTGTTTTTAGGGCCCTCACTGTGCCTGAGCTCACCCAACAGATGTTCGATGCTAAGAATATGATGGCTGCCTGTGACCCACGACATGGACGCTACCTTACTGTTGCAGCAATATTCCGTGGTCGTATGTCCATGAAGGAGGTAGATGAGCAAATGCTCAATGTCCAAAATAAAAACTCATCCTACTTTGTAGAATGGATTCCAAACAATGTGAAGACTGCTGTCTGTGACATCCCTCCACGAGGCCTCAAGGTATAGCCTTTTTGGATAGTTCATAAAATTTTTCTCTGAGTAAACTTCCTAATTTATCAGACTAAATTATAAATGATATTTTATCTTGCCTTGCTTTAAGAAAATATTGCCTTTTAACTGTGAAATGCTCGGCCCAAAAAGGTAATAGTTTAAATTTGGGGTTGGATATTGAAATAGATTTGTAAAAATCTGAAATATTTTAACATTACTTGTACAGGTATTTTGAATTGTCGATTACTGTATTTTCATCGCTTTTATCACAGATGTCAGCAACTTTTATTGGTAACAGTACTGCAATACAAGAACTATTCAAGCGCATTTCAGAACAATTTACTGGTAAGTTCCTGAAAGCTTTTTATATTGAGTACACCTTGTCCTAAAATAAAAGAATAACTTTGGTGATAATTGCACTTGCATATTATGTTATACTTAAATTATAATATGGATAATTTGGTAATTTCATAGTCTGAGTAACAAGCTCAGATGGCTTTTTGCCTACAAAGAGGATATGCAATGTTTTTTGAAGTGCAAATGATGTGCACTGCTATCAAATAGAGGATGTTAATTACTGACCAATTATTGGTTTTGAAAATATTAGTTCGTTTTTTACTGAATGATAATATAAGAGAAATTATAAACAGTCAATCATTAATTTCAGCTACAACGCAAATAATTTTAAATTAAAATATATGCCTATTAACATTGATAATATGGAGTTAGAGGCACTCATTTATATGCATTATTTTTTCAGCTATGTTCCGCCGCAAAGCTTTTCTTCACTGGTATACTGGGGAAGGTATGGATGAAATGGAATTCACAGAAGCAGAATCAAATATGAATGATTTGATCTCTGAATACCAACAATATCAAGATGCTACAGCAGAAGATGAAGGAGAATTTGAAGATGGAGAAGAAGAGGAAGGACAGCTGAACTAATAAATTGGCTGTTTCATTTTACTGTAATTGCTTTTAGTAAAAGTACTTATTAAAATATAACAAATTTGAATCTCATTTTTAATGGAATTTTTTATATTAGATTAGCTTTACAACATATTTAACATATTTAAGCAAAGATTCTTCTTCTTTTGAATATGAATTCTTAACAGTTGCCATGGGTCTTACACAAGAATGAAGCAGCGGCGTCCCCAAAGAAAAATATTTAGTATGTAGACATAATTTGAGGATAGTGAATCATGTGTACTACCAGCAGGAAATATTTATTTATTTAGGCATTTTTATATAGCGCTTACCTTAAAGCTCTAAGCGCTTTAAAATTACTGAAAACATGTAAGCTAAGTAAAATAAAAATGAGACACTAGGATAGTAACTATTACTATACTATAGAAACAATTAAAATGGCTATAATACGAGGACACTTTGGCATGATTTGGCCTATACTACAGGATCAACCTGAGACAGAAAATATATTAAGAGCAGTTTATTTGGAAATGATTTCCTTTAAATATTTAAGATAACGAAAATTGATTTTAGTTCCCTGTAAATATTTTTATATTCTTGAAATCAATTTTTTAAACTAAAAATTTTTTTTAGTAAAAATGACGCAGAGTGATGTACTTTTTAAAATATTTTTTTTCTGGATGAAGCATTTTTTGCTCTATTTTCCAGATTATTCCAATTTTGTAATAAAATTTTTTGAACAAAAATTGCTATGGTGTTCTATCTTTTTTGACACACTTGTACTCCTGAGTTTTAAAGTTCTTTTTGGATTGGGTACTATCAGTATTACTAGTATTAGCATAGCATGTCTTGTAAAAACTTGTATTTAATTACAATGGTAACCTTGTATAATGAACTTATGAAGGCCTCATTCAATGAATAAGTCTGTTCAAGTTTTGTGAGCTAATTATCAGTAATGGAGTTAGTGAATGATTACTTGAGTTTAAGTAATGAAAATACTCCTGTACCCACAATCCAACAAGCTCAATATTGCTTAGGGCAGTGAGTCGTGACCCCTTTGGGGGTCGAACCAGCCTTATATTTACAGGAGGGGGGTGTGGGTGTGTGTGTCACCTAAAGACCATCTAAAAACATAAAGTAGAAACAAAAATAATTGTGGGGGTCACCACAACATGAAGGTTTGAGAACCACTGGATAAGGGCATTAAACATAGTGATGTTATTTGTTACATTGTTATAACTTTATTATAGGAAATAGTTAAAATTTGTGCTTCTGTTCTGATGAAGTCATAAGCCAAGCTCTATTTTGGGGAATAGTTCAATTTCATTTCTATTATGAAAATTTAATTTAGATTACCTAGTTAAAAAAAAAAAATTTCTTCCTTTTTTGGGTTTTTTATTTTTAGCCATAACTATGGTCATGTTGCCTAGAAAGTAGGGCCTACATAGTTATTAATAGGAATTGTTGAAGTAAAAATTTAATATTTTAATCATGATGACAAAATCAATAATTATAATGGCCTTCCTGTTCTGATATTGCCAAGCAATACAAAATTGATCTGTTCAATTCTTTTGAACAATATTATAAAGAGGCATTAATTAAAATTAAAGGCAGCTGATTGTTATGACTACTGGAGTGACCAGTGTTAAGGAAGCAAAAGTATAAAGTGCTAGTGGAGGGGTCCTCATACTTTAATCAGGGTACCGGTTCACTTTAGGGGCTAGACAATAGTTTGAAAAAAAAAGTGAAATAATTCACACTGAACATATCATTTGTAGTGCTAAATAAATCCAGAGAAACAGCACTACTACAAATTTAAAGGAATTTTAATCAACATAAAATTAAAAATTTTAATCAACATTATATTAAAATTTATTAAGAATATTTCAATGGGAAGAATTATTGGCTAAATAGATGGTCAATGTGTCTATTTCTATATTTGTCACTGCAAATCTGGCACAGGGACACTGTGGGTTGGAGTTTGTGGACCATTGTAGTATAGGAATTAGAAAAACATTGAGGAAATGAAAAGCAGCTGTATGAAGATAGTGTTAGGTAGGGAGACATAATTTCTATATACTCTTAGTGCAGAAAAACACTTACTAGTAGTTATAAATACCGGTAATATATTTATACAATTTCTAAGGCTGAAACAGATAAATAGAATTTACATTGATTTAAATTGGAAAAATCATAGCAGCGAATGTTCAGTATAAGAAATCGCATAACTGATCAAGTGTGTTATTCAAGGTTTTACTTTATACTTCTTTATCGAGGTTTTACTTTTTACTTCCATGGGCCCACGTTCTGGAACCAGCTCCCCTTCCATATACGTCATAGTGAAACCTCGTCCATTTTCAAAAAGTCCCTTAAAACTCATCTGTTTAGGTCCGCCTATGACCTGTGATGCACCCTCCTTGCCCTACCTAATTTTCTGTTTCGTTTTCTATAGAATAGTAGTTACTATCCTAGTGTCTCATTTGTATTTACTTAGTTTACATGTTTTAATAATTGTAAAGCGCTTAGAGCTTTATGATAAGCGCTATATAAAAATGCCTAAATAAATAAATTTAGCACAATGACACAAATGATATTATCTACACAGCTTAGACTTGAGGTACCTTTCCATAATTTAACTTTCAATCAAGGTCTTCAAATTTATTCTGAAGTTTTAGATGTATACACCTATTTTGTTGGTCAGCATTGTTGCAACATTCAGAAATAGAAAATGAATTATAAATATAATCAAATTCAATATTTTAATATTTACAAAAACTTTGGGATAAACAAAACCATAACAATATCTGAAATTTCATTTTATTTCCATTTTCCATTGGGTCAATTTCATCCATCTTAATCAGTCAAATGTTATGGTACATCAGTTTCCCAATCTCGGTTGCAAGGTGGCGTATCAATATCAGGGGAATGCAAGTGCAAGGAAAAGTTATTATAAATAATTTTATACATGCATAATTTTAATTTAAATTTAAGTTACTATTTTAAGCCCTGAGGATGAGACAATTTGTAGGGGTGCAGAATATAGAAATGGTTGGGAAACCATGAACAATATTCATAATAGTGTTTTTAATGACAGATATAAAGGCTAATTCAACAAGTCACCTTCAATTTTCTAAATAGTTCTTTTATCTCTGACTCTGAGTAGTTATTTTGAGGACATTTCATAGTATAATAGTAGTGATATTTGCATGCAAAATCCCTTTCATTCTTCAATACTATCTGCAGTTACAAATGAGTTTAAAAAGATCCAAAAAGTATTTTTAGTTACAGTATAATTTTGCTTGTACAAATTTACTTGTGATTAGTTCAATCTACTTTCATTTATCCCTCATTAAAATAAAATAATTCAAGTAAATTCATTCTTTATTATAAAATATAAATCAATAAAATATAAAGATCTATTTAACAAGTTTCATGAAAAACATTTTTTTAATTATTACAAATGGCTCATTTTAAAAAGAATACGAAATTCCTTTGTAACAAATATTATTTTGGGACCGTCCATTAGTTACATCAACAAAATAGGGTAGAGCGGGGTTGGAAAAAGTTTGACAATGACAATTGTAAACAAAAAAATAAAGGGAGGGGGGGTGGGGGTGGGTAAGAGTCAACAGAAATTGACCTTAACAATTCTATTTTACTTTCATATAATTATATGATATAAATATATAAATCAATTAACATATTTTTAAAAAAACCATTTGTCAATTTTAATGGCTTTAAAAATTTATATAACATAACATCAAATGGTTTAATTATCACTGATGATGTGTAGATAGCAAATTTAACACCAGCATGAGTTTGGTAACAAAGAAACCAGCAATGAGCTCTTTTTAAATCCTTTATATATATATATTATAACTTCATTTTTGTTTGTGGGTGGCTGGCTGACTTTCAGGCAAAATCTTAGGATGGCTAATTAGCCAACTTTTCATCAAGCTATGGAGCTGAAACTTGGCACATAGACTCATTGCTGATGACAACACATTCTATCAAATTTTCAGCCCCAATGCCCAACCTCCAAAAATCCGTTTTTCCTGTTTTTCAAGGGGAAGATAAAATGAAATTCCAGATAACTGTGCTAAATGAGATTCTAAACAAAAAAAAATCGCAAGTGTGTTTGGTGCGTAATATTTTCTTGTTTTTTCTGAAATAGTTGGTGAAATTAATCTGCTGTGTAAAAGCGGGTGGGTTGCTATATAATATTAATATAGTTCAGGGGCGTGAAAAAAATGTACGGTCGCAAGCCCCGGGGGGACACTAATTGGGATTCTTATAAAGGGATTCTTGTAAAGTTCGTTACTTGAATGCATACTTTAATTTTTAGGGTTGTTTAATTAGATTAGTAGGCTCATTTGTGACTCATACTTCCTCCACATGTTATGCATTTGTTTGAACACCTTTTGGTGACTCTAAGGCTAGGCCAAATCTATATTTGTAATCAAACCCCCAACCCCCCCCCCCCCCCTATTGCATATTTAAGTAATGGATGACCTCTGCATAAACATATTTAAATTTAGAAGGGTTTCCAAGATGGAATAATAAATTATCTAGGACAATGGATTGGGGAGTGGGGGAGAGAGATTTAGGACTTGTGTTAAAATGATAAATAACAAAAATTATATTTAAATTTGTCACTGGTGACTATGAAAAACGAATTAGTAACCCTCCTGTGATATCGTCATCTAATGTCTTTACCATCTTCTGTGGCAATTTAATTATTGAAGGTTCACTCACTCAGTCACTGATCTGATTTTGTTCTCATGGCCAGACGTTCTGAAAAATATTTTTATAATAATAAAATCAGAAACTAAGTTAGGCACCATCCATAAATGATGTCATGCATTCACAGACCTGTTTACCCTCACACTCTTAAAATCGTACAATATCATCACAAAATCGTTATTATCTTAATATTAAAAAAATAAACATACAGTATATAATATATACACCTCAAAATCGTACATAGTACGCCAAAATCATAAGAGTAAACAGGTCTGCATTCAGATGAGGGTTGGGGGTGAGGGGGTGTCATAAATTTGTGATGATAGGGGGAGGAGAATTCAGTGGATAACTTTCAAACAGCTTGAATATTTTGAAGATGACCTTACAAACAAACTCTAATCATAGTGTTGTATTCAAATGTAAAAGTAAAACAAGAAACTCAACAATATATTAAAGTATCAATAAATAAAAATAGGTAACATCAATAAAAAATATTAAACAAATTTATTTGAAAATATTTTTATTTAGCTTTGTTAATAGCAAATTTTTTACATTTTCAGTATCCAAGAGTCATGACATTTTGATTTTAATAAAATTTAATAACTTAAATAATGGTCTTAACTGAAATAAAGTCTAACCATTAGCAGGAGTTAAAACTGAGTGCCTCTCCTCCATAGCCATCCACATGTTTTGGCAATTGGTGGTTTTTCCCATTATAACCAAGTATGCGGATAAAGCTCCAATGAGAATAGGTGCAGCTATTTGCCAGTTTCTGCTGATTGTAGGCTTAAATTTTTTGTAACCTACATCCATGAGCACATAGGTTATTGCTGCACCTACAAATAGTTAAGTAATTTTGAGTAAAAATGTTGATACAATTGATTCTCATGTAAACAAACAATATCATAAATATGATCTTTTAATAAAACAAGATTTTGTTACCTTTAAATTGATCGCTACAGAAAAATTATAATCTTGAACTAACTTTTTAGAAACACTATTTTATATTTCTGCAGATTGGAATATTTAAACTGAAAATTTTAAAAAATAAACACAAGGGGCAACACACTGAGCTCTCTAAATTTATTGATGTAATCTAGTTTGATAAAAAAGAAACTAAAACCTTCTTTTCATTAAGATTGGGTATTGCCTTATTCACTTTAATTTAATTCAAGATAAAAAGTTTAATTTTTTACCTCCCAATAATGTGACAGAACTTGCCATAAAAGCTTGAGACTGACATGCCTTGTATGTTTTGTAATGCTGAAAATAATTTAAAACATTTGGAAACAAAAAACATAATTGTTAGATATAGATCTCAGTTTAGGCAAACCTTACTAGAATGAAAAAATATTGCATTTTCCTGACTGCTTTACTTTAGCACAAAAGCAAGATGTTTAAAAGATGTTATTTACCAGGGATGTCCAGCTGATTGTGAGCTCTGCTTGTATGGCTCACAATACTTACTAAAAGTTTAAAATTGAAAACCTTGCTTAAGAAGGGTAGTTTCCTTCCTTAACCACCAATACTAGAATTATGTATTGCATACTCATGCATTCAATCCCTGTACACTGACTGGCTCCACTACTGTCTATTGGCTACTTCTTAAATTTTTCCTTTAGTCTTTAGTTTATCCTATAAACCAGGACTTCCTCTCTACTATTACCCCATGGCCATGGGTTGTTGCTCTATTGAAGTTTCATCTCTAAGGACACTCAATCTGTTTTTTAGGGCTATACCAAAGTCTTTCCTTATCTTTGGTGTTCACAATGTCAAAATGCTGCTTTCCGCAAACAATATTTGCCTTCTTGAGTTAAGTTTTAGCTTTGCTGCTGAAAGGATGAGGTCACCACAAATGTCAGCATGATAATGATGCATCACTTGTACATCTTGCAGAGAGTGTCTTTATTTTCCATTGATAGTAATAATGATGTGATTAATTTGGCTCTGCCTTGAGACAGGCCAAGATGGAGTTATGCATTGCATACTATAAGGATGTAAATGTAATATTTTTTCTTTTGTTTTAATAAACAGGTAATAGAAATCCTATCAAAATCTTTTGCTGTTATTTAGACATTCCGAGTCATTCCTAAAGTTCATTTTCCAACTGTTCCTCATTCACTTCACAGCAAAATATAAATAGGATTTTTATGGACTGTCAGAATAAAATAATTTTATTTAGTAATTACTATAAATTAGTGCAGAATTATTTTATCACCATGAAAATCATGTGTGAATTAAGTGAATAAATATACTTACTTTCTGCTGATACTGATTACCCCCCAAAAAAACATGAAAAAAAACCAAAAACAAATAAACCGGCAAGCCCTACACAAAGTCGACCCCCCCCCACCACATTTTTTTTCCAGTGCATACGTACTATATGGATGGCCATTAGTAATTGATTTCAGTTAGTTACTAACTATTACTAGTCTTTGGTGTCGTGTGAGGACAGTGAAGAAGTACGACTTAACTTTAACTGTTATCTTAACTTTAACTTGACTTACGGGGAATCTCTCTATTAAGCCCTCTTCAGAGCTGGGCTCAGCACCATTCATTGCATGCAATGTATTAAATATTAAGCGTCAAGGTTTTATTAATAATTAAATTGTCGTTCCTTATCAGATCACTTTTTCATCATTTAAATTAAGACTACATCATCCCCTTCACACAAGTCCTTGATCTTTTATTTTATCATGTTTATATAAGTAACGGTACACATTTTTAAAATTACCGATAGATTAAAAAGTTACCCCAAGATAGTTAGATACAGATAATTAATTCAACTAAAACTGTGAAAAAGAGTTTTATATTACTTATTATATATAACTACTTAAATTACGAGTTAAACAATAATTATAAGAGTGAAATAAAATATTTGTAAAGTTCCAATTTTAAATATAAAGTTGTGTGACTTAAATGTGGGGTGTGTTAGTGAGAAGTAGAAAGTATTGATAATTTAATATTCCAGTTCTAATATTAAGCCTAATAGCCACTAATAGGTGATATGTAAAAGTAAAATAATGTTAACCTAGTTTTGAGTTGACATGACATATATAACAATATGTTATTGTCTTTACACCAGAAATAAAATATTTTAAATAGTTAGTTCCATACAAGACTATGTACAATCTGTTGGCATCACTTCAATTAAATAACTCCTAAATTCCTAACTATTCAAACTTTAATTTTTTTGGTGAGTTGTAAGACTTGTATTGTTTTATTTAAAACGATTTAACTTTTAAGGTATTTAATACTATTAACTCAAATTAATTAACTATTTTATTACTTGTAAGAGTTGTAAGTGTAAGTCCCCTGAGGACTTAGGCCTAGGCGGCCTAGTGTATACTATCTAATAATAATCTAATATCTAACTAGGAGTAGGAAGATAAACTAGTCTAGGGAATCTGAACTAAACTGACCTCTGAACTACAGATTACTATTAATAAAGACTAAAACTAAAGAAAGGTAAAAGACTAAAAGTTGAACTGGTTAAGTGGTAAGTACAAAAAGTAGGTAAAATAAGACAATTTTTAAAAAATCAGGCAACACACCTGTGGATGATACTAATATACAAAAAATTCTATTATTATATATTATATTACTAAAGTATATATGACTTGTATTATTAAGTATATAAATATAAGTTTAAATTGTAAAATGTATTGCTTATAGCTTATAATTATAACTATTAAAACTTAAGTAGGGCCTAAATCAAGTTTTGTTTATTAAATTAAAAACATGTTGTCCTAAGAGTTTACATAACTAACTGACAATGACTATGGACTATTTTTGGGAAACTATAATTATAATAAATATGAGTATGAGTAAAATGACACTATGATTAATTTAGTATGACATAATTATTGAAATTAAGGCCTAACATAGCAAGAAGCACCATATTAAGAAGTTTTTTTTTTATGTGAAAGTCACATGTGAGGTTCAAAGTACAAAAATCACAGAGTCAATGAAGCAACTTCATTTCAAGTTCAACACTGCTTAGTTAGGAAGGAGTATTTTTAACTAAAGAAGTAAAATGTATGTTGGCATTGGGCTATTGCCTATTCACTTCATACATATATTATAATTACTGCAATTATGTAGGCCTTTATTAAATTTATAGGCAATGCCTGAAAATGTAGATTGTAGGCAGAAATATATATAAGCCCAATGGCTAGCCTAAGAATAATATTATATATGAAATATATTCTTATTCATTTTTAAAAATGTAAGATTCAAGGTGTTTAAAAAAAGTGTATTAAAAATGTTTACTATTAAAGTGAGAGTTATTGGTAATAGACAAAAATAAAAAAATTCTGCTCTGACAGCTATATCAGAGTATGGACTGAAGTATTGTCTTTCATTGAGGCAGGATTACCAGCCCCATTGCCATTGGTGAATAAAGCTGTGGTGTGGGGGTTAGCCTTGGGTCATAAGGATGCACTCCCAACTGTTTTAATGGCTAAATTAAATACATGGTCACATAATGTTTCAGTGGATCTTTCTTATTGAAAGTTATTGCTCAAGAATTATTCGGAAAACCAATGTTACACAATTTTTAAGTTTCAACAACTAGGCCTATAAGGGATGCATGGGCCGATCTAGGACTTTTCTAAGGTGTGGGGTAGGCTACATCTGCCTGATGTAATAGGTTTGGTTCAAGTTTTGGTTAGGGGGCTATTAAAATATTTGGAGATTGGAGTTTATACCCTCAATTAAGTGTTAACTGTAACACGTTTAGAATTGCTTCATGCCTTAACTTTAGAAAGCTGGGACTTTAAAAATTTTAACAAATATTAGGGCACAAATATACTTATTTATTATATCATCTCCTAGGGCACAAATATACTTATTTATTATATCATCTCCATGTCTCTCTTAATTCGTCATTGTTTATATATAGTAGAATAGATTTTGTATTATATTAGACTTTTTTATTTTATTTTCAGGATTACATTCCAGATAACACTAGAGGAACACTTAATAATGCTGGTCCTTCGCTTTTTATTTAATCTTAAACATATATGCTAATTTTAAATTAGCTTTAATGGTTTAAATTATTAATTTATTAGTTAGTTAGACTCACCTTTAAAAAGGTCTTTCAGTAAGCTGCCATACTTACTTCACGTCACACAACAGTCATGTGTGTGAGGGTAAAATTCGCTGTCTTTGTGGACACATTCCAAGGACAAATGGTAGGCCTTGTGGGAGATGACATTCGTCTTGGAGCTTGGAATCCACTTAAAGCATTAGAGATGGAAAAAGATCCTTTAGATGAAAATGGGTAAATATTTAATAAAAACACTTCCCAAGACTCATTTTTACAAATGGCAAGTTAGAAATTGTTTGTTTTTTTTTAAAGGTTACTAAAAAATTTTAAAAATTTTCACCACAGAAACTTGATATTTCAAATGCATATCCTGGCACTTAATGCATATCTTTTCTTAAACCTTGCTATGTGTTATTTTGGATCAGTGTGCATTTATTAATGAAATATTGTCAGTCTGACTTTAAAGAATAAAAAGTGATGATTTCCATAATTTTAATCCTCAGTGAACTGTGGACGTGCTCGGTCTTACTAGAGCAAAGCACCACCTATCATTATCGCTACTTTATTTATAAGCAGAGAAAATTTGTGACAAATCATGATTCTGTTATTGTTCCGACTGATGCCATGACTGTGTATAAGTGGGAGACCAACATCAAACCAAGATACTTAACTATACAAGGTGATTCATTTGTTTTGATTCCAATCATCACTGTGGTGCTACAGCCCATGTAGGGCTTTGGTCTGCCTCACCACTTCCTTCCACTCAGACCTAACTGATGCTTTTACTTTTCATGCTTTGATTACCAGCTGCCGTAGGTCTTTTTCCACCTCATCCATGCATCTAAGCCTAGGTCAACCTTTGAGTCGTTCCTATCTGGGATCTCGTACAGCTTAGACCAGGGATATCAGGGCTGAGGATTTCAATTTTAATTTTAAAAGATATATAAAATATGTTCTTGCAAGCATACTCTGACTAAATGCAAATATGAGGGGAAAACATTGCCAAGCCATCATAGGTTGATTGGTGTGCAGCATAGTTTGACTAGTGTACAGCAGCATTTTCTAATATATTAGATATTTAGCAATTAAATTAAACAAGCCGCTAGGAGTGAAAAATTATGTTTTGTTTCATTTTAAAATTGCATAGAATATCTGCTTTCAAATACTTTATTTACTTTAACCAGGTTGTGAGATGACCCTTGAATTGGCTGAGGCATTTTTTGGAAACTACGGTACACAAAATGTATTACAATTTTTGTGATGTAAATTAAATATTTTTCTATGAGAGTCACAAAACTTCTTATTTTTTAAAGCTTAACTTAAAGGCAACCCTATTAACTGTGATGTAATGAGAGTTGTACATAAAATATATTCAAATCTTAAGGCATGTAATGACAGCATTCAGAATAATGATGAAATTTCTGAAAATGGGATTTACTTTATTAATTATGATATAATTTTTTTGTCTGCTTCCCTTTGAAATTCTTTCCTTAATGAGAAAAAAATGTTTTCTATAATTCCCATTGATAATGAGCAGTTGTTTTATAACTAACGTGGTCAGCACTACCTCTGAAAAAAAAATGTATCCCAGGCCATTAAGTATTATGTATCTGTACATGTACATATAAATAATAATGCATGTGAGCAATTCACCTAACATATGGACATGTACATTTTAAAAAAAATTGTAGCATTTTCAAAGGGTTGTTTCGGAAAAGTCTAAAATGGTTTTTAGCTGCCCTGTGGTTTTAAAATATGGTTTAATTATAATCCATTTAAATTTTAAAAAAATATGTTTTGCTTTGTAACTTGTATATCATTTACATATCGGCGTTTCTTTTCCAGATGGGGAAGAGAATATTGGCAAGGGATGGTTGATTAATCAGTGTGAAATTCAGATTCGCCTCCACAGTAACCCCATCTACATGTGGAAAGCCAAACACAGAGAGCAGACTTACAGTATCAAATGTCAAGCCATGGACTACTCTTCTCAGGTGGGTGCTAAAAATACTTTACTATATTTACTTGGAAGTGTTCATTAAAATAATGTAGAGCAGGGCTGCACAACATACGGGCCACACAGCATCCACTTTGTGGTCCATGAGGTAACGAAATATTCTTTATTCTTCTTATTTCCTTAATAGCTTTCCCCGTGTCCTATTTCCTTTTGCCCGCACAAGCTGTTCATAAAGTATTACGGTTCGCCTTACATTTTGAGTTGTGCAGCCCTGATGTAGAGGAATCACAAACATCACTTTTGTTATTAGAATGGATCGCAGGCCTAATGCCTTTTTTTAAAAACTTTGGGAGCCTATTTCTGGCCTATAATTCCTTGACCATATGATGTTTAGCCATAATTGTCTAGAGTGACTTTGGTTATGGAGTACATAAACCTTGTATGTGGAAACAGGTAGGGAAGGTTGCATACTTTTGTCATAGTGCTTAAGTCACATACCTACTAGCAATGATTGTGACAGATGTCAAGGGTTATGTAATTATTTATCATACATATCTTCTGTGGATAGACTTAGCTTGAAGTTTCAGCATAAGTTGGAAATTGGGATTGGTTTTTTGAGAGTGATAGGTTTAAATGGTTTAAACAGGCTTTAATTCTTCGGTTGGGGGTGAGGATTGTGGATATAATAGGTTTTTGGATAGTCTCTTAGAGAAACTAGATTAAAGTAGAATAGAGTTCAGATTAAAAAGAGTTAGAAACCAAAAAAATCTCAATATTATTTGGTATGTGTTTACATTTACAAAGTTGTAATTCTATTTGTGTTGTTATTTGGAATGAAAGATAGGGCTAAAATATATTTTTTTTAAAAACAACTTTGCAACAAAGCATTCAGATTAGGACGTTTGATCATAAACCCAAAAATTGGGACACAATGACAATATTTTCTAAATTAGCTTCTCATTGTTTCATTTTTATTTACCAATACTTAATTCAATATTTAACTATGAAGACATACTAGGACAAGATTTTCCTTTGAAGTGTACATATGTTTTAACGTGGTCCTAAAAATATTAAATGAAAAAATTAGCTATTTATTTATTCTGCATGTACAATTTTAGCTTCTGATGCATATTGTACTCTCACTACATTTTGATGCATAGTTTAAAACAAAAATTCTCCAGTGATATTAGTAGTAAATTTTGTACTGACCATAGTGCACTATAATATTGGAGCTTATTTTAAAAAATCTTTGTACGTTTGAAGCAAATGAAAAAAAATCAAAATATTCAAACTGAGATGGGATTTACATAATCTTGACATTGTTCACATGATATATCTCTATATCTCACACAAAAAATCAATAGATTAAATTTTTTTTTTCAGTTTAAGTTTAAAAAAAAATTGATATTTTATTCTTAGGGAGGCTCAGCAACAGAGGATGAGAATGAAGATTCTAGAGATGGTCCAGTAGCCTGCCCTTTCGATGATGTTTTAGTTTGTGTAAGTTTTTACTCTACACTTAATTTTTGCCTTCTTGTATATTTTATTTAGTTTACGTTTGCGTTTTTAAACAGGAAATGACTAATTAATTATGTTTTACCATCTTTTGGGCCAAGACGACCCGAGCGCATTCAACATTTAATTTGTTGGGATTTGAAACCATGATATTTGTCCATTGTCTTACTAACTATGCCATTCAACCACCCTGAACATTTTAATTAGTCCATAAAAAAAATTACTTATGTTAATTGGTTATGAGTGACCAATAAGGCTGCAGGCATAATTCTATGTTGTTATGGTGTCCTGACGTCAAGTGTATTGTTTTTTTTTCTTGATCAGAATCTAGCTCACGATGATTGCAGACCATCTCGACAGGAGCATTTTGGCATGTTGTACCTTAAAGACAACTATATTGTATTCCGAACACAGATGCCTGATCCACAGCTATTGGTTAGTCTATTCCCTGTTTCTTTGTTGAACAATTTCATTCACTCTCAGACCAATTTGTTGATTATAATGGCTTTAGTTTCTTGTTTCTTTTTCTGTTGAAAACATTTAAGATTCTACAGGGTAATAAAGTAGTTTTTTTTAATTTTTCATTTCAATTTTCCCCCTAATTTAACCCTCGAACTGTGGCATGCATCATTCTGTGGTGTAGAGCTTTTCAGAGCTTTTTGAGTGCCTTTTAAAATTGCATTAAATGACATAGAAATATTGATACAAGACCCCTATAAGTATATATTTTTAGAAAGGTCAATGGATGAGGATAAAGTTGACTATATTACCCACCCCGTAAAAAAATTGTGTCAGTGTCCTTGACCTTGGAGTTCTCAAGAAAATAAAAATCAACAAAATGTCTTGCTTTCAAGTGCTCATAACATCATGAATTTTTATAGATACACTTAAAATAAATCTATATGTTGTAGCCAATTCATTTATCTATCAGAAAAGGTATAGTTTGCGAAGGTTTTGATTGCAAATACACATCTGAAAGCAATTTTAGTAATTTTAGGTCATTTAAATAAGAAACTGGGACCACTGCTAAAACCAAGTTCAAAATACAAAATCTCAGTCAAAATAGTTATTATTGACTAGTAAACATTTAAAAGGGAACTGTGGAACTGATTTTGGTTGTTAAACTATAAAATTTATTAGTTCTGATCTATAATCTGTAGCTTCTGTGACTAAAATTCAATCAGTCCTTGCCCAACCTCCGGGCCTGGCTCGAAGTCAAACAGTAGCCTTAGTAGGCCTACTTCAGTATCACTAAGACTAGTATCAGATTCACGAAAAGAAGAATCTGAAGTGAGATATCATGGTGAATGTTAAAATCATCATCAGTATAACTTAAATCCTCTCCTAAAAAGCTTTCAAAAATATTTATATTAGTTATCGCACTGAAGGCCCGGCCATAGCTTCGGCCATTTTTACTTTTAAAAAAACAGCGACATAAAATTCCAATTAAAAAGCTCTTATTGTTAAGTTATCAAGAAACAGCTTGACCCGCAAATTGATTTAATTATTAATAAAAGGAAATGGCTACGATTTCGGTTAAATATTGGATTGGAAGTTACTATTGGACTGTGTTTTATATCAGCCGATTTTTTCGGCCGCCACAGCACAGAACGAGAATATCAGTCGATTTCGTCGGCTGACCACAGTTCGATGGTTAATATTTTTTAAATTGCAAATAAATAAAAGACATCATTGAAGAACAAAAAAAGTTTAAAATACTAGATTTTTTAAACCTTTAATTTGTTAAAATTAGTTTTCTTGTCCATATTTTATGTCTGTGTGCCAGTTAGCCATTGAACTTGTTTATATTTTCCTTCATACGGCTTGAATGCAGTCCGTCACATATTATCTTTGATATTTTAAAATTCATCAGGGTTTTCAATTAGACTTTTTCGTGTGTGAGCCCAACCGGGTGCCAAAGTTTGTGGGTGCAGCTCATCTTTTGCCTTACAAACAACGGGAATCTCAACACAATAGGAAATTTCCAATCATTGGTTGCAACCACAGGCCTATTGGGGAGATAAACAGTATGGATTTTTTAATTTTCTACAATTTATGCCCTTGAATTAAACTTATAATTGTCACATTTTAATATTACTTTAATGTTAAAGATGACCTTCATTTACACAGCAAGTTGAACTTTATTGACACTGTATGTCAAACTTTAGTTACACTGTTTCCCTATTTTTATATGCCAATACTTTTTACAATTTCAAATTATTTATTATCAATTTGGGATCTTGTAAGAAAACAGACTATAGTTTTGATAAAATTTATTGTTGCTGGCCGAAAATTCTTTTTTGTACTCATCTGCCAAGATTAACTCATTAGCACTGTCACACTTAAATTATATTGCTGAACAAAGGGTAGTAACTCTCTTTAGCCATAGATTTACATTTGTAAAATATTTTTTAGCTGCTAAACATAAATTAGGTGTAATAATAATAAAACAATAATGGCGAACGGATAATGAGCAATGACCAAAAAATCTATTTTTGGCACCTTAGATGAACACGTGTTAGATATAGATGCACCTTGCTAAAGCACACATAGTTTGAAAGTGAATCAAGATAAAAACATCAGATTTTTAAAACTGAAATCTTGCCATCACCGGAATTCTCAAGGGAAACAATATTTCATTGCTATTTAAAAATAAAAATGAGAGAGTTGTGTGGCTACGCGCCGGGACATAATCGAACATATCCGTCGGAACCCCCCAAGGGACCCATGCAGTGGGAATGAGTTAACGTTTCTTTAGAGGAAAGCGCTTAAATCTGAGTTTTTGTAAAAGAATATTTTAAAAGCTGTTTGAAAAGAACATTTTGTTGATTGGTCTTAAGAACAAATACAAGTAGAAAATATGTAAACAAAAACATTTTAATTGTTGCCGTAATGATTTAAAAGTTGAAGATTTTTAAATTTAAAAAAAAAATGAAACCTCTGTGATTTTGTGGTCTTTTAATGACAGATAGTTATACATGTATAAAATGTATTCTTTGTGACATTTAGAAATTTTACATCTTCTCTAGTTGAATTCTTAATTGTGAAGCCAGCTCCTAGCCTCATCATGACCATGGAAACTTGCTTCCAGACACACTGGAAGTGGAAGAAGGCCGGAGACACATCACTTGATATAGGACACAGGGGCATGGGAGCCTCATACTCTCAGTGAGTGAACTTTGTTGTCCTTTTTGTGGTGGCTGGTTAAAGTTAAATGCCTTACACTTTTTTTCTGTTTGGCTCAGGTTGCTGTTAATTTATTTCTTTTGTAGATTTGTTGCAGAAAGTTAATTTAATCTTTGTGATTTCTCTGGCTGTGATAGAAGCAGTAAGACACAAACAATTTGTGTAAATAAAACAATACAGGTTCAGCTTTATCGCTGGTCCAACTCTCTTATAATCAGGAGCCATAAATGAAAGAAAATTTCACCCATCTGTCTGGATGTATCATTTAACACCTGGATGTCAAATTACGACCATATTGCATTTGCAATTGATTTTTTGAAAGTCTCTCGGGTAGTTAGTCAATGCCTTGCTGTAATATGTTTCTAAATTCTGTTTCGGTTATAGATAATCGAACAATTGTAGAAATCATGATGTTATTGTGTAACATATTTGTTTAAAATGTAAGAGTACTTTTTAAATCTCTGAGCATCTGACTGATGCTTCTTTGTGTCCTTCCTCAAAGCTCTCCAGATGAAAAAAGGTAAAATATCTCTCAAGCTTACACAATATATATATAGACCTATATATATATTATGACACATTATAAATATAGGCCTATATAATTTTCACAAGCTTACACAAAATGGATATAGGCCTACATAATATTTCACAAACTTACACAACATAGATATAGGTCTATATAATATTGCACAACATAGATATATGCCTATATAATATTACACAATGTAGATATAGGTCTATATAATATTACACAACATATATATAGATCTATATAATATTACACAACATAGATATAGGTCTATATAATATTACACAACATATATATAGGTCTATATAATATTACACAACATAGATATATGTCTATATAATATTACACAATATAGATATAGGCCTATATAATATTACACAACATTAGTTATAGGCCTATATAATCCAAGCCCACAAATGTTTAATAACTGACTGACGTACTTACTAGTTTTTCATAGTTCATTATAATTTTTAACGTTGTTGAGGAGTCAATATTTTCAAAGTCTAACACAAATATAGTCGCACCAAATTCTAGTTCCAATTTTGATGACAATAAGCCTTTCTTTCCTGAACATGACAAGATAAATTAATCCATTTTGTAATTTGTAATGAAATAAACTGTTCTATTCCATTCCAAGTTTAATTACATATTTTTAGACAAGTTTGAACTAAATAATGTCGTCCATCTTTACCTGCAATGTTATTAACACAGAAAATATTATCCCATGGCCTGCAAGAACCTTTAGCATGCGTCATATTTGTGATACACTGTTTGTATTTTCCCCAGAGTCAGCACACTGAAGGAAAACACAATCGCATCATTCACAGCAGCCGCCAAACATGTAAGCTTCTGTAACAACTTTGTTGTTTATCAAAATGTCAAGTAAAATCAAGACGTATATTTTACACAGGAACCTTTAACCTGTTCAGTTGTTCTCAAGCTTTTCTTGGATGCAATTTCTTTTCTAAAACATGCATGCCTCAATCCTTCACCATAAAAACAATGACCTCGTCCAACAGTATCCCAAAGCCCTGGTCCAACAATATCCCGAAGCCCTGGTCCAACAGTATCCCAATGCCCAGGTTCAACAGTATCCCGAAGCCCTGATTCAGATCATTCAACAGTATCCCAAAGCCCTGGTCCAACATTATGCCAATGCCCTGGTCCAACAGTATCCCAAAGCCCTGATTCAACAGTATCCCGAAGCCCTGGTCCAACAGTATCCTGAAGCCCTGATTCCTTTTACCACCTCCCATGCTGAATAACTGCCATCAACTGTTTTGTTCTTATCCCACATCCCACAGGGAGCTGACTTTGTTGAGTTCGACGTCTTACTTTCCAGAGACAAAGCCCCGGTCATTTACCACGACTTCTCTGTGGTGGCCTCCTACTCAAAAGTAAGATTGTAAAGTAGCTTTATTTATACAATTAGTCTTCAGGGTTAACATTTTGGCACGCTTTCAGAAAATGACTTGAGCCGGAGGTTTCTATTTGGACTGCCATTTTCATGTGGAGATTTTGTCTCTGATTATTTAGATAATGATGTGAGGCTAGGCAGTTATCACTAATTGAAAGGATCAGATTTTTAAAAGTACCTGTGTTAGGGGTGACAGAGTTAAGGTGGTGGCCAAGTGAGGGGTGACAGAGGTAAGGTGATGGTCAAGTGAGGGGTGACAGAGGTAAGGTGGTGGCCAAGTGAGGGGTGACAGAGGTAAGGTGATGGCCAAGTGAGGGGTGACAGAGGTAAGGTGATGGCCAAGTGAGGGGTGACAGGGGTAAGGTGATGGCCAAGTGAGGGGTGACAGAGGTAAGGTGATGGCCAAGTGAGGGGTGAAAGAGGTAAGGTGGTGGCCAAGTGAGGGGTGACAGAGGTAAGGTGATGGCAAAGTGAGGGGTGACAGGGAAAGGTAGTGGCCAAGTGAGGGGTGACAGAGGTAAGGTGGTGGCCAAGTGAGGGGTGACAGAGGTAAGGTGGTGGCCAAGTGAGGGGTGACAGAGGTAAGGTGATGGCCAAGTGAGGGTTGACAGAGGTAAGGTGATGGCCAAGTGAGGGGTGACAGAGGTAAGGTGGTGGCCAAGTGAGAGCTGAAAGAGGTATTGTGTGGCCAAGTGTGGGGTGACTGAGGTAAGGTGGTGGTTAAGTAAAGGGTGACAGAGGTAAGGTGATGGCTAAGTACAGGATGACAGAGGAAACCTGGAGCCAGTTAACAATGATGTGAGCAGAGCAACCAAATACAAAAAAAAACCCCTCTAAAAATAAGCTTAGAGAGTATTTAATTTTTGCACTTAGGATAGAAAAAAGATGTTAACTAGCTTTTAATGTGGAATTTTTACGTTTGACTGGAATGATAACTTTGATTTTATCTGGTCCCCAGAAAAAGAAACACAAAACCCAATCAGAGCTGTTTGAGATCCCTGTCAAGAGTTTAACATTGGATCAGCTGCAGTCTATGAGGCTCTTCTCATCAGAACACTTGGGAGTGGGTGGGTTTATCTCTGTACATACTATTATGTGGTAAATTTGTTCTTTTATGATGGGAGCAATACAAATGTTATTCAAATTAATTTACAATGTTGGTGACTCGGGGCTGAACGGCACATTCCTAAATGTTTACTGGATGTGGATGATGGTGACTTGGGCTTAAAGGGCACATTTTCCAAATGTTTACTGGATGTGAATAACGTTGATAGTGACTTGGGGCTCAAGGGCACATTTCCAAATATCTACTGGATGTGGATGATGGTGACTCACACACAGTAACTCACTTTTTGAAAAAATTCTTTTAAAAAAAAAAAAATTCAGTTAAATAATTATAATTTATGTTTGGTATATTTGGTCTGTGGATTGACTGTGTTCGGGACACCCTAAAAATCCACTATATGAAGCTCCAGTGGGCCTCACACCTTGCGGCATTAGGTCAACTATACCTGCCTGCAACGTCTCGTCAGTAACAGTGGACAGAAGAAGAATTATTGTTGTAATATTTTTGTTAGTGTTTATATTTATATTTTTACAAGTGTCCATCTTGACTGGATAGGTGTGGAAAGTGTAAATGCTTTGAAATAATGAAATACCTAATTACCCAGAGACTACATATTAATTTATCCTGGCATGTAGTATAATAATATGTTGTGACATGTAAGGGATGAAGGAAGAACAACTATGGTCTAATTAATGTATAAGGGATGGAACACTGTTTTAGTGGAGGGGTGAGGAATGTCTGATACATAATAGAGGGGTGGTGTTTTCTTAAATAGAGGTTGATAAGTAAATTAGAATGATAGGAGAGAGAGATGGCTTGATGTGGGGGTGGTGGATTTTGTGGATGGAGGGATGAGTTGGTAGTCAGGGGCTGAGAAGCAGTAGTCAATGAAAGACTGTTGGGGGTTAAACAAGAAATACTAAAAGAGGATGTGGCCTGGTTCACAGGAAATGGTATTCCAAAATGGTAATATCTCACAGGAAACGTAACATAACTGTGCCCTAAATTCAAAAACATTAAAGATGACTTGTCACTTCCTATAAACCATTAACCCTTCCGACTCTACAAATTTTCCCTGACGTGGTTAGATGTTTCCTTTTTTATGGTCTATCACTTACTCAATTAAATGGAGTTAATGTGCCCAAAAATATACACATTTTGTTAAATAAATAAATAAAATGGGGGTAATATACACAAAAATATACACATTTTGTTTAATCTATCAATTAAAGGACCCCCAATCCATAGTGAAGCATGAATGTATTCTCTATTATTTCTTAAAAAATCTAATGAAAAACTAAAACATTTTTTTGTAGGTATCCACACCTTGAGAGCTTAATTTTTTAAATATAACTGTAAATGACAAGACCAATACTAACAAAATGACTTTATTTATGATGACTTGTGGCGGAAGCGGACGCAAGCAGCTCTTTGTGATCATCAGGTCCCCTTCTAAATTTATTCTTCATCAAGGTATTAATGATGAAGAAACAGAAGAAGAAAGCACAGAACCATTTCCCACCCTTGAGAAAGTCTTGACTGTCGTTGATGAGAATACAGGCTTTGACATTGAAATTAAATACCCTCAGGAAGATATAGTAAGTCAAGTTCTATAAACACATCTGTTGGCAACCTTTTTAATAGTATTCTGTAAGTTACTGTGTCACTTTATATTTGTTTGAAAATACCAATTTTTGAATATTGGGTGGAGTTCATTGGCAATGTTGTTGAGAGCAAGTCAGCCAAGGCTATTTATAGAGTTCTAAACATTTTAAGGTCATGAACTATGAAGTACTTGATTTGTTATAAATATGAACATGATTAACTTCATTTCCGATTGGTCATCAACTCCTATGTTGAATAACTGAAATAAACGCCCATTAGAGTTCTATCACTATTTATTTTGTACCACTTAATTTCAAAATTCCTCAAAGTCTTTTTCTTTTAAAAATTGTTTGTTTGTTGTTATTTTTAAAAATGTTAAATGTCCTCTCTTCACTTACTTGAAATGATAAATAACATAGGTGGATTAGTTAGTTTTCTAACATTGGGGATTTGTTAGTTTTTCTAACATAGGGGATTAGTTAGTTTTCTACATTATTTGTTTGTTTGCTTATCCATCTGCTAGAATGATGTTTCGGAGATGGAAAACTATTTTGATGTCAATGAAAACATGGATCACATTCTTAAAGTTGTCTTTGCTCATGCCGGTGCCAGAAAAATTGTCTTCTCAAGCTTTGACCCAGACACTTGTATCCTGTAAGTAGACACTTGTATCCTATAAGTAGACACCTGTATCCTGTAAGCAGTCTCAAGTATCATGTAAGTAGTCTCAAGTATCCTGTAAGTAAGCGGTGTATCCTGTAAGTAGTCTCAAATATCCTGTAAGTAAGCAGTGTATCCTGTAAGTAGTCTCAAGTATCCTGTAAGTAAGCGGTGTATCCTGTAAGTAGTCTCAAGTATCCTGTAAGTAAGCGGTGTGTCCTGTAAATAGTCTCAAGTATCCTGTAAGTAGTCTCAAGTATCCTGTAAGTAGTCTCAAGTATCCTGTAAGTAGTCTCAAGTATCCTGTAAGTAAGCGGTGTGTCCTGTAAGTAAGCGGTGTATCCTGTAAGTAAGCGGTGTATCCTGTAAGTAAGTGGTGTATCCTTTAAGTAAGCGGTGTATCCTGTAAGTAGTCTCAAGTATCCTGTAAGTAGTCTCAAGTATCCTGTAAGTAAGCGGTGTATCCTTTAAGTCGTCTCTTTGTCTCATATGTTAAATCATAGGATGCTTACTTCTTGACCTATTTCATCAAATGTTCTATTTCTTGACCTATTTCATCAAATGTTCTCTCTATTTGTTGACCTATTTCATCAAATGTTCTCTCTATTTGTTGACCTATTTCATCAAATGTTCTCTCTATTTGTTGACCTATTTCATCAAATGTTGTCTCTATTTGTTGACCTATTTCATCAAATGTTCTCTCTATTTCTTGACCTATTTAATCAAATGTTCTCTCTATTTCTTGACCTATTTCATCAAATGTTGTCTCTATTTGTTGACCTATTTCATCAAATGTTGTCTCTATTTGTTGACCTATTTCATCAAATGTTCTCTCTATTTGTTGACCTATTTCATCAAATGTTCTCTCTATTTCTTGACCTATTTCATCAAATGTTCTCTCTATTTCTTGACCTATTTCATCAAATGTTCTCTCTATTTCTTGACCTATTTCATCAAATGTTCTCTCTATTTGTTGACCTATTTCATCAAATGTTGTCTCTATTTGTTGACCTATTTCATCAAATGTTGTCTCTATTTGTTGACCTATTTCATCAAATGTTCTCTCTATTTCTTGACCTATTTCATCAAATGTTCTCTCTATTTCTCTTGTTGTTCAAATGCCCAGCTTGCAGCTGAAGCAGAATAAGTACCCTGTGATGTTGTTGCACCAAGGCCAGACTAGGATCTACACACCTTACAAAGATTACAGAGCATATTCTTTTAAAAATGGAATAGGATTTACCATTTCTGAACAGTTGTTGGTAAGTTGTCATCATCATTTGTTGGAAAGTAAGTTTAAATCAAACTTTCAAACAATACAATTTTTATTTCTTCAAGATTAATTTCCAAGATTATTCCGTTAAAATTTAATACAACAGTAAAAGGCTTAAGAAATAATCTTTTGGGATTCAAATAAAAAAACAACTACGACAACAGCTGTACACAAGAAACATGGTTGAGATGATCCAGGGTAAAGTAATTCAATGTTCTTTGTTTTATTCATGAAGAAATAAATAACTGTGCTGCTATTAGTACTATTTTCATCTCATACATCCTGGCATGCTAAGTGCCTCGTTACTTTTTCTATACTCCCCATCCCCTGTGAATTATTTGACTAGTATGGCACCCCTGCAAATTGTTTTACTAAGTCTCACACCTCCTACAAAAGTATCATGGCATTTTAAAATGTGAAGAAAACGGACATATAATTTATTTATTGAATTTCAAAGAGAAGTGTAAAGAACCCTAGGCTGGTAAACCATGCCCTAGATCTGCTATTTAATAAGAATGACAGAACCTTATCCATTCTGATGCATGTAATCTAAGAATGACAGAAACTTATCCATTCTGATGCATGTGATCTAAGAATTACAGAACCTTATCCCTTCTGATGCATGTGATCAATATGGGAAGCTAACTGTTGTCAAACCGTGGAAGCCCCATTAAATTAAAATAATAAAGTTACACAGTGGCATGTTTATCCATTTATTAGATCAGATTTAAAAAAATAATTATAGTTTATAAATGTAGAAGATATTTTATGTCTCATGTTTTTCTCTGGGCAGTAAAATCTCAAATATAACTTGTATTTTATGCCAAGAATGCTTTCCCTTATTTATTTACTCTATAGTCATCAGTAATGTCTTCTATGGTAGGCACTAACGTGAATGTCTTCTGTAGTCAGAAGTAATATAAATGACTTCTGTAGTCAACACTAACATGAATGTCCAGTATAACATGAATGTCCAGTATAACATGAATGTCCAGTATAACATGAATGTCCTGTATAACATGAATGTCCTGTAAAACATGAATGTCCAGTACAACATGAATGTCCAGTATAACATGAATGTCCATGTGTTGCCAGGGTGTGGCCCTTCACTCTGAAGTGTTACTACAAGACCTGAGCTTGATTGAGCGCGTGCAAAGTAAGAAACTCGTCTTGTTTGTCTGGGGGAATGACAACAACGACCCAAAGATGATCAAGAGACTCAGGGATCTTAAAGTGGATGGCATCATCTATGACAGGTTTGTTCACTCTTCATTTTAATCCACGGTTTGTATTTTGTATGGCAGGTTTGTTCACTTTTAATTTTAAGTCACGGTTTGTATTTTCTATGGCAGGTTTGTTCACTTTTAATTTTAAGTCACGGTTTGTATTTTGTATGACAGGTTTGTTCACTTTTAATTTTAATCCACGGTTTGTATTTTGTATGGCAGGTATGTTCACTTTTAATTTTAAGTCACGGTTTGTATTTTGTATGGCAGGTATGTTTACTTTCTGACTCAATTTACTGTTAGTATTATTAATGATAGGTAGGGAATGTATGATAGGTAGGGTATGTATGATAGGTAGGGTATGTATGATAGGTAGGGTAGGTATGATAGGTAGGTATCATTTATGTTGTCACGTCATAATTCTTTTATTTTATTCAGTTTTAAATTATGCTAGTTTCCCCTACCTTATACATTTGGTTAAATCGTCTGTCCAAGCTTAATTTAAATCTATTTAAACAATATTTAAATTTTTAAATTTTTATTGTTATGCATTTAATGTTTGTAATCATTTTGTGCCTTTGCCTTAACTGTTATCAAAATATATTTTTGAGCAAGTATAGTCTCCTCCCCTTTCTCCTTGAATGTAACCATTTAATCCCCATCTCCTTAACAAAATTAAACATTGTATCAAAGCCCTCCCCTCGTACAAACTTAGCCATTAAATCACCTCCCACCCCCCCTTTCTATCAACTGCTGTCATCGTCAATGTCATTGTCACTGTCATTGTCACTGTCATTCTCACTGTCATTGTCCACCAGAATTGACTGCCACAAGCCAGAACATCAACCAGAATTTCAGCTGGTGTCGGCCACAGCCGCTGCTGCGTTCATGACCGTGGTGGCGACCGAGGAGAGGGCCTGCGTGCACATCAGTGACGGAAGTAGAAGTGGCAGCTGTGTATCAGAAAGTTCCAGTTTTCACAGTCACCCAGGCACATCCAGTCCCTAGCCGCCCTTTGGAGCTGGGTATGGTGCATTAGTCATTGTGGGATTATGTGGGCTGACAACATTGATACTGTGCATTATTAAGTACGGTATGTCTGTGATGTTATGTGTGGTTTATGAAGTATATAAGTGATGTAATGTAATAATTTTTCAAACAGCTACCTCTTTATTCATTTATCATGATTTTTAAATGACCGAAAAAAAATGAACAGAAATCTATTTTTTAAACGGTAACAACTTAGGAAATTCACCTAGTTTCAAATAGGTCAAAATTTAAGATTTTGAACAAACTCATGAAAATGCCTGTAAACAAATCAAAATTGATTGCAGAAAGGTATGAATTAAGTACAAGTGTTTTAATAAAACGCATAATTCTTTTTTGTGAAATCTATGAAATTTGAATAGCAAGTAGTATGTAAGAGCTAGTCACAGTTATATTTCCGAAAACCAATAGTTAACTCTGTCAAATCTTTATGATTAACTATCTGGAAACAGTTGTGGGTGAATGTTTAAATACATAGACACAGACATGGGGATTGAAACATTAAATACATAGACACATACATTGTGATTGAAACATTAAAAACATAGAAACAGACATTGTGATTCAATCATTAAATCCACAGAAACAGACATTGGGATTCAATCATTAAATACATGCCACAACCCGTAAAGATTCACTTCAAATTTTTGTTTACTATATTTACTTTATTTTTATTATTCAATGAAACTAACTCTTTGGTTGATTATGTTGAACCCTACTGTGTGGTGTTAAACCTCTGACCCTGAAGTCAAAGTCTTAAAGGTTATACACTTGTTTTATCAAGACAAAAATTTACATTCAGATTTACTCAATTGCCCTGTCAAATAATTTTTTTATTTGTTACGAGCTCGGGTTAACAGGGTTGTCCTCTGGTTAACAGGGTTGTCGAGTTGTAATTGAATTGTGAAACCATGGTTTATTTTCTGACATATTCATTCAGTCCACATTTTATTATTGTCATGATAAACTGGCAGTTTGGTTCCTTGAATACCCCATAAATTGCATAAAATAGAGAGACTAATATTATTAAGATGTATAAAGCTAACATTTTAAAAGTCATTTTGTAAAAAAAATGTGTTTAATGATTGCCGAACACGATGAATTTTGTTACATATACATCATCCCTTCTATATTCCAGTAACATAAAAGCATATGCCTCTACATTTAATCATTGTAACATGAAAGCTATGCAACTACACTTCCTGCGCTTGACTTGAGTCTGTGTTAAATTTGTTACCGAGATGGTTGGCTCAAATATTCCAAGAGATGCTAAACCGACTTGGAACATTCTCAAATATCTTCGATTGTAGCTAGAAGTCTTTCAGGATTTGACGAAACTGCACAATGTACAGAAAGAATTGAATGATGATTGCTTAAATTATTTAAAAACCCATTTTACTGGCAAAAAATAATATTGTTCCATATCCTTAGAACATTTCTTATCAGAATGCATCTTTGGATTAAAGGGATGTTGTTTCTTCACCCAGTATATGTACTTTTCAGATTTATGTTTATAAATATTTATTACTCATGAGATTTATATTTATAAATATTTTATTTTTGCAATACATCTCGCTATTGTTGTTAACTGTTTGGTTTTCGTGTGTGTGGAATCTGTAATTGTGCCATAGTGATCTACTTCTAATAAGATTTGTGTGTGTGTTTGAATCTGTTTTATTTATCCTGCTGAGTGTTGAGATTAGTAGTTTGGAATCAAGGGCAGACAAGTAACAAGCACAAGGCTGTGAGTCAGAAAAAATCCTTACTGAGCCCCACCCTCTTCATTTGGCCAACTTTCTTCACTGATCCCTAAACACTAAAATCATTGGTTATCTTTTCTAACAATTTTTTGTATGTATCACCTTGAAAGTAAAGTATACCAAGATTTGTACATAATTTGTGGAGAGTGCTGAACTAATTTCAGTGAACCTTTATTTCATTAACCTGCCATCAGTGAGGTAGACAACAGTAGTTTTAGTGCATGCTTTTATCATAGTTCTTTTTACTTACCTCTGGCACTTAAAGTAATTTTTTAAAAATTTAAGTTTAGTATTTCCCTCTCCCTCTTTTTATTTTACAAATGCTCAACACTGACATCATAAAAACATATATCTAAATTTTTTAATATCTACATTATTCATAAGGGATATGTTGAGAGTAACAAATAAATATTGAATAAACAGATGAAATAGAAAAAACTTTGATTATCTTGTAATTTGTCTTCCTTTAAAAATCTATCTGCAATGTTGATGAATTATTTATACAGATGTCTGCATTATTCTCATATTGATTATTAATTTAAAAAAAAAAAACTCATGGGATTTCTTATTTAATTTCTGTGTTTGCTAACATTAATGTTTTGGGGTGGCAGGAAATAAAATTTAAATTAAATTAAACATTAGGACACTTATGTGAAATTGTCTTCAACAGAAACTTCAAAGTTTAAGGTCTAAATGTTCATTAGAAAACATAAAAGTAAAAATTTTTTTTTCAAATCGTTTTCATCTTTTTATCAAATCTGCAACAAAAACTTTTGCCGCATATGAACACCTTGATGTTTTAAGCAACTTAATTCTTAAAAATATTTTAAAAATTTGGATTTTTTTGTTTTAAAACTTCATACTTCAGTTCCAGGAAAAAAATATAATGTATTTTGCATTTAAACAATGGTTCAATTTTTTTAAATATAAAAATAAATAAATTTAAATTTTATCTTTCATGTTTATTTATGTTTGTAAATGGCACCAATGAAATAAATATTTAACCCCACAAGTTACATTAATTAATTTTGTATCTTTAATTCAAGTAAAGCCACTGAGTTTGAAACACTAACTTTATAGATGACACAACTTTCTACTTTCTGAAAAAATGTTTTTAAAATTTATTTTCATGCCACCTCAAGTTTGATGTTTTTTTACTAAGATGATTATTTATCTTATACACTTACTTTTGCTGTTTATGAACCTTGGCATACCCAATCTACTGAAAATGATCATATCTTTTTTATATTAAATATTGATGGCAAAAAAATAATAATCGTGTTATGTAAAGTTAATTCTCTTCATAATATCAATAACATTTTTAGATAGCATCTCGCAAAATCTATTTCTTGCTGTTTATTATATTTTATTGGACCCAAAATTTACAGTGATTTATAGATGCAATCATAACTCATTTCTCAAGTGATCCAACAAGGAGATTGTAATTAAGTCATACCCTTGTGACTGGATTGACTCTATCATAATTAAGTCATGCCCTTGTGACTGGATTGACTCTATGTCATAATTAAATCATACCCATGTGGCTGGAGTGACTCTTGATTAAAGCCATTGTATCTTTGCTATACATAGACGCCTTAAATTCTTGTCGGACCATTTTTGTGATCACTAAAATGTTACTCATTTACATCGAAAAAGATACTGGTACATAGTTTTAAAAACACTTTTGAAAATCATCTTTTCAATTGAAGCACTGGTTATTTTTTTATTTGCTCCTAAATCTTCAGACATGGACAAAAAAGGAAGAAAAGGTAAGTTGTTATTGAAAGCTAAAGTGTATTAAAAAAAGCATCAACAACTTAAAGTAAATTAAATATTAAATGAAATAATCACAGTGTAAGATTATGGGAAATACATTGCAACATATTTTACAAATAAGAAAAGAAATTATTTAACAATGACCAAGAATAAAAAAACCTTTACAAAATGGAATAAATCTGCATTTTAAATGATGTGTACAACACAAATTGGTTACCTTTATTACCAGTAGAAACTACTGTCCAATTCATTACTTTACTATTTCTATTGATAGCGTTATGTTCTTAGTGGCAGGTTTCATCACAACCCAACACAAAGTGAGCGGTTGCCAGTCAATAAAATTAGAAGAAATATGCATAATAAGTGAGTAGGGGGTTACCAAACTGAGGATTTGGCCTTGACCTTAAGAAATACCCTACCATTAGTTTTGAGTTTATAAAATACTTCCCATGAAAATTAGTTGCCGAAATTTGTTTGGCGACCTTGCTTTATGTGATCATTTACAGAACGAACACGAAGAAGCAACAATTTTACTTATTTAAAAAAACTGGGGTTAAATATAAAAAGCTTAAAAAAACAACAACTGGGGAATAGAAGGTTCTCATTTCATCTTATGTACCAGTGTCAAGTAATCCTGTCTTAGTTTCATTAATATAACAAAATACTTTACACAAAATCTATACTTGAAAACAATAAATAGCATTATTATCAGTAAACTGAAGGGTTGTTCAGTAGCACCAAGGGGAAAGCAGAGTACATCCAGGTCAGAGCTGTGGTTTCCATTCTATAGGGTAGCTAGTGGTTTCTGATCGATCTCAAAATGTACTAATAGTAATATAATTTACAGACTCTGAAGCAATAGTAAATTTTGCATCAAAAAGACAAAGTGGGGGACCCACTGAATTTGAGTAATTGACTTTGCAATCTGTCAAGCACATAATCAAATGCTTTGTGGTTCTTTCCACATACAGCTATTGATAGACACGTTAATGTTAAACATTCCATTATCCTTCATGACAATTAATTCTCTAGTCACTTTAACTTTTAATAAAATCATTAAAATAATTAAAAAATAGCTTATTTCTGTTTACCATAGAAAAAAAACACAAGGGTTTAATATTGATCTTTTGACATTTTGAATCATTGTAGAGCTTAACTTGGACTCACCTTAAAATAGTAAAACTGCATGGCACTGAAAATGCAGTAAGTTCTGATACTCTGTTTCATAATGAAATAGTAATAAATATATTTTTTTAAAGATTTAAAAAAGAATACCCACTTGTTATTTGGTCTTAAAAATGGATAATGGTTTTAAAGCTGTTGACTAGTAGGAAATAGTGGTACAAGGTATGTATATTATATTTTATTCTGTTCATTATTAGAAACGAAAGTTTGGATTATCTTCATATTCTAGTAGTCCTTTCAGATTAAAAAAACAACTGTATTTTAGATTATAACATCATATTGTAAAATTTAAATCCTGTATGTAAACTTGTGCTTATAAAAAAAAAATATAATAAAACCAGGCACTGTTCAACTGCTTGGGATTAGAAACAAATTGGATGCTAGTAAATTTGCATAAAATTTGATTAAACCAATTTTTAATCAATTATTATAGTGTCGTAACTTTTCAAACACACATACTACAAACCAAGCATTTCTACAAATCTTTATATCGCGAACATGTTATTACTTTCTTATAAATTAAATTTCTAGGAGTAATGTATAAAATAAATGTCTATATTGTTTTATTGATGATTCTTGAAATATTGTGTAAATAAGAATTGAGGTATAAACACAATAAATATTTAAGAGGTAAACGCAGCGGCTATATCAACATTTAAATTTGCAGTTTTTATAGTTTATGTATTCTTGAAAAAGAAAATTGTAAGATTGAAAAAGCTGAGTAAATTACAGGCTATATAAAAAATTTCAAAGAATTCCAATTGAATTTGGTAGCCTATTTATAGCAGTTCAATTTTAAAAATGTTAATGATGAAAAACTAGTACAATTAAACCAACATTAAAAAATGATAGCAGATATCAAAGTAGCATATTGTTATAAAATTTACAGAGAAAGTGATATTAAATTTATCCAACAGCAATATTGAAATCACAAGATTTATTATTACTATTAAGAATAAAATAAAATTTTAAAACATATCAAATGGGAGATAAATTAAATTACAAGGAGATAAATGAGGTGCATAGTGGTGGAAGGGCAAATTGTGCTATTCTGCAATGGAAGTAGATTCCTGGGTTAGGGAAGGAAACAAATTACCTGTCGGAAATCAAACATCAACAAATGTACAACATCTTGGAATGAGACCTGCAGCTGGGTTTAGATGGAAATCAGAGTCATAAAGAAAAATCATTGACATATTTTGATATTTTTGAAAATCTTAAAGCAAATTTGAGTTTAATTTATTAATCTCCTCCTGAGGATAATCTCCAACAACAAAGTTTGTTTCACATTTTAGTTCAGAAGTATTAAAAAAAACACATTATTCAAGCTAAAAATAAATCTAATGCAATGAAAAAAAAGTTTAACCAAGACATTTTTGTTATTTTGTGATTTCTAAATGCTAAAGAGTATTAGGTTTTAACTTCCATAAAGGTTTTTGTTTGGCAGATTATCTATTAAGGAAACAAGATAATTTTAATTTAGTTTTTATTTAAATTATTGTCAGCCATATTTTCTTTCATCAGTTTAGAAAATAATTTGTTGCTATTTTTTAAAATAATATTTTCAGATTCATAAATATTTATATTTTAAAAATTTAACCTAAAACACTTAAGCACTAGTTTTTATTATTTTTTTTACTGAAAGACCCTTATATTTTTAATCTTTTGCACAATGGTTCAGGTGTTTATCTTAAGAAGTAATTACCTTTTTTTCATTTTTTTTCTTCATTTGAAGGCCCACAATGTTACCTTTTTAACATCTTCATTGTTATTAATTTGGAGTACTATATTTTATTGCAAAAAAACAATTATCATGATTATAAATTATTAAGATTAAAAAGATTAGGCCTTTTGAAACAAATTTTAAGAAAATAATTCTTATAGAGTGCATGACAAATATTTTAAAATATACAGTTTACAAGAGTTTATATCACCAAGTTGCTTTTCTTATCTTTGATTTTAAAAATAAAAAATGAATATTAATAAATGCTAGCTGCAGAGAAATACATTTAAAATATGTAAAATACATTGAATAAAATTAGAAAATGTCTTAAGTAATTTAAAAAAAATATTTTACCAGTAACAAATTAATTCTGTGAATGGATTCAAAGTTATTAAAGTGCAAAGTAGTTAAGGAAAATCGTACAAATGTTCTCTCTGTTGCTTATCTTTTGTTAACTCATAGTTTGAACAAACTAATCATTCACTAATCATTGTGACAACAAATCAAAGTTTTAAATGCATCAAAACTCATCCTCTAGCTTTCTGCAATATACATGACCAGGTAGTAATACTCAACATGAGACACAACTATCTTAACATCTCTTCGTGAGGCACACCCTAGGTAAAACAGACTTGAGACTTTGTTGATGGCAAGATGAATGTACAAGTGCACCAACACATGGCAAAATGTTGTTCCGAGCATAAAACTCTGGCTCCAAGCAGATTCATTACATGAAAAGCTTTAACTGTAAGGATCACCTGCTGCTCCACAGGATTGAAGTATATGTGTGATTGTAGAACGACCCATCAGAATAATACACTCATGGTTCATTAGTTTATTATATTTTAGGAGCAGGCAATGGAGTATATACACACTGCCTGCAATTTACACATTTCCTTCTCCATAAGATCTAATAAACCATAAGTATAAGCCTCAGCAGTCAATTTTACCAATGCCATAATAGCTGGTAGACCAGTTACTTAAATAAGGCAGGACCGTGGCTTAAAATGTCGGCATGTATTTCTGGCTCACACGATGGTTACATTCAAAGTGTCATTGCTAAAAACTGCGGGGCTGTCGGAGCTATAAATAGATTTGAGGTTGCCATCACTCTCAGGCGTTGACCCTTCATCCCTTGATCTGTGGGAGAAGTGGTTTGGAGGGTCCCCACTGCCTTGGTGGGACATGTAGTGAGCTTGGAGATCAGCTGGCAGGCTTACTGACATATCCCGTGGGCTTTCCATGTTTTCATAAAATATCACTGGGATCTAACCATGGAAAAAAAAGGAAATTACTAATGACAAAAAGGAAAAAATAACAAGTTTAAAAAATTAAACTAAATGAGACACTTGACCTAAACTGAACATTAAAAATTATAAAGGATGTTAAGAAATTATTCTAAAATTTTTTTTAGCAAAATCAAAAAAAAAAAATCTTTAAGGCTACTTTTAATTTAACTCAAAGGCACACGCTAAAATAAGTTTCTTTTTAGGTCAATATTTTGTTGTTGTTGCTTTGTGATGTTAAATTTTTATTTTCATATGCTATGTCTATAAATTGTGAAACTGTAAGGAAACAAGAAAAATTGTTATTTTAAAAAATAAAATCAAGAAAACTCAAATTTCTCACTTGGTTAACATAACAATGACATAAAGTCTATCTTTGCCAAGGGCTGGAAAATGCACATCTCTGACTCCACTTAGATTATTGCCGTAATCACAGTCATCTCCTTTTGTTTACCTTGGCTGGGGCCGAAACTGTTGAATCTTGAGAGGTTTTTGTGATCAGATGATCATTGCAGTCGTCCCGACCATTATCATGACCTGGTGTGTCTGGCATATCAGCATCATCACCACCACTCATGTGATGTTGTGGAAAATCTTGGAAATCATGTTGAAGAAGTTTCCTCTCATCAGTCAGAGGTGATGGCTGGAGTGACAAGGAGCTTGGACGAATAACATAGCTGTAAAAAGTGATAATAAAATGTAATCCATGTTCTTTACAGGAAAACAGCAAAAATTAATGACAGTGAAAAAATATATTTTTTTGAAAGCTTTCCAAAAATTTGCTCTTGTTGAACATTTCTTACTGCTAGAAATTATTTAAAAAATAGAGAAAATATTATTTTTTAAGATTACTTCTACTGAGCTTATTATCACAATGCAAGCAAATTTATGCTAGCATCATTCCATATCAGCTTTTAGAGCCAATGATTTTTGAGATCAACTAACTCAGTGCCACTTAAAATATTCTAAATGAATTATGGGATACTGCTGTGTAGTGGATCTAACATGAACTGTTTTAAATCTATTTGCTAAAATACTAATAAACCTTAATTTCATTTGAATATTTTCATGTTATTACATTTAACTAACTTTGTCATTAATATGAAAAAAACTACCATATTTTCCAGCATTTAAGGCAGCTGGGCGTATAAGATGACCCCCTACTTTTCCAGTTAAACTATAGGGTTTGGGCTATACTCGCCATATAAGACTACCCCTCTCCCAACACACACCAAATAAAAATTAAAAAACATCAGATTTGATTTCAATATGGTAATTTTAATTCAAATGCTTATGACATGCAGGTACTTAGCAGGAAAACTGTCACTTATAAAAAAACAACATAAGGCTGTTTGTCATCAAACGTGTAAACATAAAACAGTGCAAGTGGATTAAATTTTTCATAATTCACTATAAAGCTGAAAGGAAAGGTAAGACAATAAACCCGTGGGAGCTGCCATGCTGTTTGTTCTCTAAGCTGTCAACCAAACTAGAACTAGAGGGCGCCTGTCCCTGAAGTTTTAGCACACCGTATACCAGCTTATAAGACGATTCACTGCGTCTAAGATGAACCCCCCCTTTTGAAAAGATTTTCAAGGGTTAAAAAGTCGTCTTATACGCCAGAAAATATGGTACAACTAGTTGTGTTTAATTTTTTAATTGTTTTATTACACTTTTACGGACTCAGAATTTTTTTAAATGCCTCATTATTAGAAAATTTTGGGGAGCATATAACTAAAGGTATATGAATGTAGAAAGAATATAAAAAAAGAATAAAAAGGCTTCTTACATGATGTCTCCAAGTTCCAGCTTTAGGTCATAGCTGGGGTTGATCAGCACATAGGATATTGTCTTCCTTGTGTCGCTGACCTCATCTGTTCCAAGAAAAAATAAAGAAGTGAAAATTAAAGCAAATTAGAGCAGGTATCTCAAGATCTTATTAACATAGTATCTTTGTATGGATAACTCTGCACAAGGGATTTTTTAGCCTCATAATTAACTTTCAAACCAAATAAATATAAACCTGAACCATATTTACAAGTAGGGTCAGCTTTACACTTAAGGTGAGTTGTAAGTCTCATGAGGATTAGCCAGTGCCAAATACACATATACTCTGACTTGGATTGGGAATTACAGGACTAGCAGTAAAAACAATAATACAGCAGTGTACTCATCTCATAAAAATACAGGCGATGACCTTGTTGTTGGGGCGGGGGGGGGGGGCGGGAGGGGGGGTATTCTCATTTCTATTTCTCTGCATAAGCTTAAACAACATTTTTGGGCACGTTTTTGTTGGTCTTTTAAGAGGCTTTTGGGTCAAAATTTTAAACATAAAGTATAGAATGAAAAATAGACAATAAATAGTGAAATGAACTAAACAATTAACATCTTAAAAAATTTTCAAGTTTCGTCTGTAAGAATAAAAATTTTATTTAAAAAGTTATGACTAAGAGAGAGGAAAAAGAAAGAAAAAGGAAATGAAACGATAGGGCACGCCAACCCACTCTCACAATAATCTTCCAGGGGCAGTCCCTGTGTCTGCATGCGACATTTCACCATCTGGATAATTTCTTGTCTTTCGGGTGTCAAGTGACCACTGGCAGTAATTTCCTCCTCTTGAGGTGATAGAGACATCTGGAATTATATATGTATGCTTTGAGGGTCTCATAATGTAAAAATATATTTTTTTTCCCCTCTCAATAGTATTTGGCATTTTATTTTCTTTGCTTCAATAATTCTTAAAAGATTAACTTAACTTATACTTAAAATTATACTTTAAAAATTTAGATGAATTTTTGTTTTTAACCGTAAAATACCTTATAAGATTATTTAAACAAAAGCTGAATGTTTTTAAAGTAGATAATATTAAATGAGGTTTGACAAAGCTGATATTTCTGATCCCTAGCCTTATCTTATTAAAGGTAACAGTATTGCTTTAACTCATCTAACAAACTGTTCAAATTATAATTATCTCATACATAAAAGTGAGAAAAGATTTTTATAAAATAAAATTAATAAACATAAATCTTAGTAGAAATGGAAATGGATAAAAAAATATTTAAATGAAGTCCAAATAAAAGTTGATAAAGTTGAGTTCAGTAATTAACTTTAACTTATTTGCATGATTGATTTACTGTATGTAAATTTAATTCAAGTAAAACATAATTAACAAGTAAATTTCAAAACAATTTGAGTAATTTAAATAAATCTAAGTGTAGATGATTTTTTTTGTTGTTGTAATAGCTTAAAATGTAAAACTGTAATTTAAGTTTGGCAACGCTTTTTCAAGTTGAAATAGTTTCTTTTCAGAAAGAAACCTTTATCAACAGCAGTGTAAATTAATTATGTTAAGTGTCTCGAGCCTCTGCTTAAAGCAAACATGAGAAAATACATGGTGCCATGCTCATTCATATCATGCCAGAACACATCCAAGATAATTTATTTGAGATACCGGTATGTGACAAATTCTTGGAGTACTGATATATCCAAAATACTCATTAATGAGATTAAAATTTCAAAGAGTGAAGTAACTTTATGTCAAAATACAAGCATACATAAGTTGCTGTGTAAATAAAAGTTCAAGATAAGGGTAGAGATCAAATCGTAAACTTCAGTGCAATTTAAATAAGATTTTCATGAAAATGTGAAAAGGATTTCTGAGTCATGTTTCTGTTGGAAATGGGAAATAATCAAAATATAACTAGCTCTACAAATTAAATAGATAACAATTTTAGATATTCGATGAGAAAATAAAATATATACCCTACACCTGAAAATGGAGGTTTGTCTTATTGAATAAGAAGATATCTGAAATATGACAAAGCTAAAAAAGATTAAGAGAAACGGAAATATCTTGATAAACAAATAACAATAAAACAGAGTTTTCCTTCATAAACTTTTAATCTGTGTCAGAAATGTTCTCAGATGTACAAATAAATAATATTAAAAAAAACCCATCTATCTCATATTTGCTGCTTGCTGATGATGATAGATTTAAAAGTACTAATTTAAAAATCTGCATGATTTATGAATAAAAATTTGCTATTGTGGCCCAAAAAAGTGAGAACATCTCATAGCAAAAGGTTATTTAATATAATTGAATTAATATGTATTTTGTCATTTATGACCACCGGAAATTGTCATGATAATGACATCATATAGTTATATAGGTACATAAGTAAATGAGTAAATGTATACAGTTAACAAATGTTGATGCAATTATATTTCATTGTAAGAGATGTTATCACTTTTTCTGGGCCACCCTGTATATCCTGAAAGAAAAAGTTAGAGATAGTGTACATTCTTCATTGTAATATAATTAAATTGGCAGAAGCAATTTGCTTAGATTGAAATGGAAAAAGCCAATCAAAAGTAAATGGTGATTAGCAAATCATTAAAACTGATAAGGCAAACTATAAATTAATGAAAAGCATGAAACTAGTGCGTGTGAATACATAAATTAGGCTAAAAGTAAAAAAATATATTTCATTATGTGCAACTAACATTTTTCAATCCACATTTTTTGGGAGAGAGTCGCATAGTTGTTCTCCTCCACATTGTTTTAACTTTGTCACTGGCATTTTTCAGCACCTAAACAGGAGTTATAATGTTTACTAATATTTTCATAAGTTTTTTTTCCCCTAGCAAGCATTAGCAATATATATATATAGTTCTTATGAATCCTAATAAATGACTTAAGTAAATGGGCAATTTTTTAATTTATTAACATTTAACTTTGCAGCATTGTATTCCAGTGTTGGTAGAAATACAAATATTTCCCAATATTTACATGGCAAGATTAAATATCTCAGGAGCCTTAACAATAAAGTATTACAGCATTTAGACAACCTGTAAAATAATAATTATGATATTCATCAGCTTTTTTTTTTTAAATAATGAAATAATCAGTCATTTTTCAATGAAAGAGATAGGAAGTTAGTAGATGAAATATTTTCTGGAATCATTTTTTTTTAATGGAAAGAGGATAAATTGTTAGCGGGTATCAAGGCTTTGAAAGAACATAAGGCATTATATAAAAGTTGGGATCATCTCTTGCTGGCTGTTGTTACTCACACAGAGCTCTCGGGATTTATGTGACCAAGTATTGCATGAGAGCTTGAACAAATTACTACAACAGGATAGCTGGGAAAAATTGTATTCTTATTAAAGCATTGTTCATGTAAGCCTCTACAGCAGCGGTTCTCAACCTGTAGGTCATGACCCCTTTAAGGGTTGAACGACCCTTTCACAGGGGTCTCCTAAGATCATCGGAAATAATTTTATGATTGGGGGTCACCACACCATGAGGAATTTTATTAAAAGGTTGCGGCATTAAGAAGATTGAGAACCACTGCTCTACAGCATTCAGTTTCATTTGATCTTTACATTCAATATGTTATTGTGTGATGGAAAATTCACTGGATCTACTGGTGCAAGAGATCTACAAAACTCAAAAAAACATTCTCATGACTGATTCAAAAATGGAAAATAACAGGCAACAGTGTAGGGATTTTTTCAAAATGAAAACAACCCCGCCCCCCCCCCTCCCCACCCCCTCCCCCCAATATTTACTATTAATTTAAAGCACAGAGAATGCTAATTTCAATAATTCATATAATCTTTAAAAAATATTGTTTTTTAAAAGTAGTGCACTCTGTTGCATTGCCACACATAACAACGGTATCACTTTTGAAAGATTTGATTTTTTGTGTGCATTTCTTCCCAATATTTTAACTTTTAAAAAAAGTTTTCACTGCATTCAAACAAAATAAAATAATCATGAAAAAAAAAAAAATTCCTGTGCAATAACACAGAGATGTAATGAAAGTAAAAAGCTTTAATTATATATTTTTAATCTTATGGTCACCCAAAAAAGGTTTTAAAAAATAACTTGCTTAATAAAAAAAAATGTAATTGATGTTATTAATAGCAGCTTTTATAAACAATCCAGACTAGATTAACATCTTGCATATGAAAACTAAGAAATTAAATACAAAAAAAAAATGATTTTGTGTCTTACTGAATTCAGAATAAGGTTAGTTTAAGGTACAATTTTAAAATTATCAATATTCATTTCAGACCAGTATAAATTGTTGATTGGGTTCTAGCTTCATGAGCAATAAATTAGGGATGAAACTCAAGATAACACCAACAAATTTAACAATGCACACAGTAAACTTAATAGAGCATAACTCTTAAATTTGGGATTTGTGGCTATCATTAAAATTACAGCAACTTGAAGGCACATAAAGAACCTATTTCTTCATTAAGGGGGAACAACTCACGGCAAAAGATAATAAGAATGGACTGCATTAAAAGCTTGTAAATAGGCTTAAAAGTATGATTATTAATAAAACTTTGTGGGACCAAACAGCATCTGCAACATGTCGCACCCAAAAAACCATCAGCAACAAACAGACAAGAAAGGAAACTGAAACTGGAAGCAGAACAATTTTTTCTTATATTTAAACATTCTGAATTATTTTCTTCTCGCTCTGTTTGTCTGGTTATGTTGGCTGTGGCAAAGCAAATAATAATAATGTTTGTTTTTTTCTCTCATAAAGCCTTAAAACTATTAATGGCCAAAGTATTTCATGAATATTGAATGGTCATCTAAAGGTGCCCACAAAAAAATTTAACTGGCCACAAGTATCCTGAGCTTTTCCAAAAAATAATCATACTTCTGCCATTCATCAACCTGAATAAAAAATTATTTGAAATCTTTAAAAAAAAAAAAAGATAAAAAGCTAAATTAGAGAATTAATTAAAAACTATAAATGAACTCACAACAAATGTACACACAATAAAAACTCACACACAATGCACTGTACGCAACTTCAAAATGTTGTTAGTTATATTTTCCACCACTCTTACCGATGTTGTTTCAGCTGCTCCAGAATGATGCTGTGTACGGTAGATACCTATAGGGATCTCACAGGCTGTTGAGCACAGCTTCTGATAGAGTCTGCCATAGGTCCTAATCCACAGGTCATCTTTACCAATGGTCACCTGAGGAAATTTATGTTACCAAAATATATCTATCAGCTAATTCAAAGGCTAAAAATATAACATTGCTTAAAACATATTCCAGAAACTCTATTTCAGGACTTTCCTTATCTTGTAAAAGTTACAGGCTATATAACAGGTAATTAGGTTGTGTTATGCAGTGTGATTCTCTAGAAGAAAGTTATTATGCACAAAAAGTAACTGGAAACAGGACATACTTCAGTAGAAACTAAATACTCAAAAGTAAAAACCTCACAAGAAAAACAGAAAATTATATGTAAAGCTGTAATCTGACCAGTTGTAACATAATATGCAAGTGAAACTTAGACCCGTAACAAAAAAGGCAGAAAAACCTAATAAAAACATTGGAGAGAAAATCTCTGTAAAATATACAGACCAGCAAAGAATGAATGTGGATGGAGAATACAAAAAAAAAACTAGACACTTTATGGTCTATATCAGGATCCCATGATAGAAGCAGAAATAAAAAAAAAAGGCAGGCTGCAATGGGTGGAACACTTAGAGAGACTGCCAAATTACAGAGTAGTGAAGAGGGTTCACACCAAAACCCAAGAAGAAAACAGCTCAAAGGCAGACCTAGGCTTAGATGGATGGATAATGTGGAAAAAGATCTACAGCAGCTGAGAATCCAAGCATGGAAAAGAAAAACATCAGTTAGTCTGTGTGGAAGGATGTTGTGAAGCAGGTCAAAGCCCTACATAGCCACAGGGAAGGATGAATAGCTACATTTTTATGCAAGTTAAATACATTTAAAAACAGCATTTAGCTAGTGTATTTGTTTTTATATGAGTTATGTAGAATACAGGAGATCAATTTTGTCATCTTTGAATTATCAACAGTGGCCTAGTTTCTTATTAAACACAAAATTTTTACTCTCATATAAACATTCTTCATATATAGATATAATCTTATGACATGCAAACTTCATATGTAGCCTACATAATCTTATGGCATAGTCATGCATCAAATAATAATAATTGACTCCCATTTGACATAAACTATGACCAAATAAACAGTAAAATAAATACAACTCACAGAAGACAAGTGACCTGAGCCAACAGCCATGTCAATACCCAGCAGAAGTCGAACAAATGTGATCAGATAATCTTTCACAAAGGCCTGCAAACAAAAAAAAAAAAATAAATACCACAATTAAGTCTACTTATCTTTCACTATCATATGTGCAAATGAATATTTTTTAAGAGTTGAAAAGTTGGGTACATTAAGAGTAAGAATTATGAAACAAAAATGAAGCATACGGCCAAACTTTATAGAAATCTGTCAAACCTGATACAGCAGGGCATCCAGCATACTAGCACTGAATACGTTGCCAGCAGCAAAGGGAAGTCTGAACATGTAATAGATGTTTGATCCCCGCTCTCTTTCTTTCTGATAAATAAATAAAATAAAAAAAGTGTAGGGTATATAATTTTTTCCACATAAATGCCTCCTCTGTTAAATGAGATCCATATCTTTTAGTTTTGATAAGGTGTAAGTCTTCCATTACTAAAGCTAGAATAGAATCTTTGCTGCAGCTTATAAGTGTCCCTTTAAGTAAATTCATTTACATAAGAAAATAAATTATGACACTTTTGAACATTTAAGAATATTGGATAATTATTTAAGAGTTACCTTTTCCTGCTTGGATATGGAAAGAGCGTAAAGATCATCAGGTCTAAACTGCATAAACCTCATATTGGGTGCATGGGATATTTCTGTAATAATGTTTGCCTTGGGAAACAATCTGCAATTCATAATTTGACAAATTAAGTTATAATTAATCGCTTTCCAAATTAAATAATTTAAACATTTTAAAAACAGAAAAATCATTATTCCTAGAAAATATTTTATGCAATAATATATAAACAATTACAATTCATTGGGTAGGTGCTATGTTCAAAATTAAATATTAAGCAAACAATTTTTTAATATCATGAGTGTGAGAATATCTGCATATCTTATTTGTTTTTCTTAAATTGTAAAACTCATAACATTTAAAAAAATAGATGTTTAGAAAGCAACAGTGACCTAAATATAGTCTGCACAGAGACAATTGTGTTACAATCTGCTAATGTGTCTTCCTCCCTTGAGTTCGACGTTTCTTTATTTACAACGACCACATTTTCTGTCAGGTTGATCCCTGCTTTAAGTAGGTCTTCAATGCTGAAAATACCCAGAATAATCTAATTATTTAAAGTGGTTCATTGTCAAAAGCATACTAAATTATTATAGTTTTTTTACAGTCATTATAACTGGAACATTTCCTGTTTGTAAATTTCAATTTGTTGCTTTAATCTGCAGTGTACTCCTTTCTCTTTTCATGAAATTTAAAAAAACAAAAACAATTTAATTGTTACCAACCGCATAAAACTTGAAACTCCAATTAAGTTACTTTAAATGTTTTAATACATCATTTAATTACACCAAAGGTTGCAACCCTTTTTTAATTCTTTCAGCTACCGATTTAATTTCTTTCTAGCTTTAACTTTCCAACAGAAAAAAATGATTGATTAATTAATAAACTTAAAAGATATTTGAAAGCCACAATTACTGATGTCCAGTTACTAAATAATGTATACAATAGCATCAAGACTCACCAGTCAATAGAACCTTTCAACCAGTAAACTAAAGGAAAAAAGCTTATCATAGCTTGGAAACTGGAATCTGGTCTGCAGATGATAAAAAATACCAGAAAGATTAAAATTATAAAATTTTGACGGTTCATTTATGATGAGACTAGAGCCTGCAAAACAATGGTGACCTCAGTGCATGAACTTCCCATCCACTAAAGTTACTTGACAAAACATACATTCAAGTAACTTTTTACCCAAAGCAGAAAAGTTTAATTATTTACTAATAAAAGAGAAGATCTATGCTACATTTGGGAAATAGATTTTATGAAAAATGTAGAGAAAAAACTTACTGCATGGGAAATAGTAAAACAATTGGGTTGAGTGATTTCTTGGGGCGGGCATGAGACCGCAAAGGCACAATAAAGTTGTAGAGTCCAGAACTGGCATAATCAGCAGCAACAATTATAGCAGGATTAGGCCAGTTGTACTCTCTGGCATTCTGGTGGCGACAGTGACAGCATTGCTGTGGGGGACCAGTGAAAGGCCTACAATTATCTTTTACTCAGAAATATTTATCAGAATGAGAAACAGATGAAAATTAACCCTCAAACAATCTCAAAATTGATCTCAGCCAATGTCTGCAACCAGTACAGACTTAGATGCTATCCTGGAAACATTTATTTAACACAACAAAACAGAATTAAGGCTAATTTAATTGGTTAAGAGTTAACTTACAGTAGCAAGCTGAAGGCAGCACAGTGGACGTTTTTCTTTCATCAAATGACAAAGTGTTGGACTAGTTCCAACGTAAGGACTAACAGGTGGAAACCCTCTCACATACCTTTTTGAACAGAAACAGAAAAAAAACCCAGCTGATTGAAAAATATATTTTAAAATGGTGTTCACACATTTTGAAGATCGTAGAAATTTAAACAAAATTTTACTTGAATTCCAAAAAATAATTTATTTTATTTGTCTAAGAAGTTTTCACCAAGAATATTTATGTAAAAAAAAAAAGAAACAAACAAATGCAAATAAATTGTGGTACACCATTATAAATCATCTGATGCACCACCTTTTGTGTACAAATTTGTAGTGCAGTATTCAGCTTTTCATTATTTTTTCGTACGTAATACATTTTACCTTCATTTTCATGTTTTTCTTGTAGGCCTACTGCATCTTTGCAGATGAAGGTGTTGTGCTACTAAGTTCATTATTCTGTTTTATCTTTAGTCAGCCACAACTATATGTTAAGCCTATGAAGTTTACACAATTTTTTTCCTGTAAAGAAAGTACAGACTTACTCTGGAAACTCATCTCCCTCCTCATTTTCCTCCTCCTCATCTTCATCATCAGAGTCTGAGGCCATGACATTGATATGAATATTATTGGCTTCCATGGTGGCTGGTACAGGTGCAATGCTTGGTCTCTTCTGTAAGCTTTGAATGTTGAGACCCTGGAAGAATAAATATTGTATTCATGTTAGGTTTTTAATCAGAGAAAAGTAAACTTGCCTTTGTTAATAAAATCTTATACATTTTAACAAAGGCTAAAAAGGGGGTAGTTGTTTTTTTTTTGAGGTGGGGGTCATACATCTCTCAGGATTTAATATAATAAACTATAGTAAATTAAACAAACTGCATTTCATGGGTAAACTAAACTAAAAGGAAATGTCTTACTTTTGGTAAACTAAGGTTCCTTTTCTTGCTGCCTGTTCTAGATATAAGGTTAGGTTCAGAGTTAAAATTTCCCACCCTCGTGTGTTGTAATTCCAGTGCAACTGTACCTGTTGTTCCAACAAAAATAACAATAATTTCCATTAAATTGTTAACTTGTCAGTTTAGCTTCATTAAAATTTTCCCCCACACAATTGTCTATTTTGTATTCCTATGAAAAACATTTAGTGCACTTTCTGGCTGTAGTTATTTTACTTTGAAATTCCAAGTTATAGATATTATGCTCATAAAGTGATTTGCATTTTATTATTATTATTATTTTAAAATAAAAATAGTGATCAATTCATAGCAATCCAATTTATTTCTCCTTTTTTCTGATCTGGAGAGAACCTTAAATAACTCAGAGGTAGTTTTATTTGTATTGTTCTGGTTACTTATACTTACAGGACTAATCTGACTGATTTAACCAAGGAAAAAAAATCTCATCAAATTCTAATTTTTATTTTGATAATTGATTGCATGCAAATGTAAATGCATTTTTGGTTTATCTGTTAACAATAATTACCAACGCTAGCTATCATACTAGCCACTCGAGAGGCTTTTTCTGTTCCCTGAGGCAGCCTGGCTCTGTCGCCACTTGAGCACATCTGGTTCGGATGAGCTAAAATAAAGGCAGAGTTCTCCTCCTTGGTTATATTCATATAGAAGCAAATGTCTGTTTTGCGCATGATGTGCCGAGGTCCTGGGTTGAGCTGTATGGTGCACCCTGGAATGTCTCTCTGTACCCCAACAAGACTAACACCATATCTGTTGATTTTAACAGAAATTGACTCAAAGTCACCAAAAAACACTAAAAAATTGAAGTTAAATATTTTATTACTAAACTTTCATTTGATAAAAATAGAATATCATTTTTCTTCCAACCAATGGAAAACATCCAACAGATAAGCTGTAACTGGGATTTGTTATAATAAATCAATGCTTACTTGCGGTGAGCATGAAAAGAAGCATATGTAAAACTTTTCCCCTCGTAATCCCCAAAGAAGTTGCTGTCTACTAGACGAATGTGGTAAATTTCATTCCCTGAACATTTTCCATAAAGTTTCTGCCAATCTTCATGTGATGTTTGTCCCTCTCTGAAAAGAAATTCCAAGTTTTCAATCAATCGAAGCTGGTCTATAGGGTTAAAATTAAATATACTAAATCAATTACCAAGCATTTAAAAATAAGTTATTAAGAACAAGGTTACTTCTGATTAATATATAGAGTAATTAAAATTTGTATAGTTTCATAATAGAAAACTATTTAATTGTAAAAGACAGACTGGCTCAAACTGTAATAAATAAACCAAGATTGTTCACGTTTTAAAAATGTAATTAAAAAATTATATATTCTCACTGGCCCCGAGATGTGTGCAGTAAGAGCGTGACAAATGTAGATATGCCAGGACACAAACAGTTGTTGGCCAAAAGGGCATATTTGAATTCATCTTCACACACCACATGATCTGTTGTAAGAATTATGTTTAAGAATAATTTTGCATAAACATTTATTGAATGCTGAAAAGTATTCATCAAATAATCACATGTTCTACATAAGGTCTAATATATAATTTAAATAAATTGGTCATATTTTAACTCTTACATTTTCCTGATTTATCTTGTTTCATAATCCTTTAAAAATTTATGGAAAAAATGAACTAATTTATCATTTTGACATAATTATTTTCTTCAAATTTACCAGCAAATTTGACATGAAACTTATTTTCAGGCCTGAACAACTGGACATAGAGAGGGCACTTGGGAGCAAAATCTCGGACAGCCCATGCTCTCATGATAGTATGTTGATCCTGTCAGACATGTAAAATTTTAATTAAACAAAAAAGAAATTGTTTTATCTAACATCAGACCCTTCTGTTTTGTTTTTTTTTTCACTTGCCGGAGAAGGGTGTTATTTAAAAGTGATATTTAAGAGTGCTATTTAAAAATGTTAATTAAAAGTTTTATTTAAAAGTGTTATTTAATAGTGCTATTTAAAGGTGTTATTTAAAAGTGTTATTTAATAGTGCTATTTAAAGGTGTTATTTAAAAGTGTTATTTAATAGTGCTATTTAAAGGTGTTATTTAAAAGTGTTATTTAATAGTGCTATTTAAAGGTGTTATTTAAAAGTGTTATTTAAAGGGGATCTCCCTGAATACAACAAGAACTTAGCACTGCTGTCATGAGGTAAAGAGAGGAGACATGAAGACTCACTGTTGCATCTTTTGCTGCGTTGTTTCTGTGGTTCCTAGCAGACAGAATAAAACAAGCTTCAGCATCTTGCATCCTGAAAGAAAAAAATATCTTAGATGAGTGGATCATTGTAAACATCTTAGATGAGTGGATCATTGAAAACATCTTAGATGAGTTGATCATTGAAAACATCTTAGATGAGTTGATCATTGAAAACATCTTAGATGAGTTGATCATTGAAAACATCTTAGATGAGTTGATCATTGAAAACATCTTAGATGAGTTGATCATTGAAAACATCTTAGATGAGTTGATCATTGAAAACATCTTAGATGAGTTAAAAATTGAAAACATCTTAGATGAGTTGAAAATTGAAAAATCTTAGATGAGTTGATAATTGAAAACAGCTTAAATGAGTTGATCATTGAAAACAGCTTAGAGGATTTGATCATTTACATTCTATTTAATGCTTAATTATAAGAGTTGATCAGTTACATTCTATTTTTGTATTTAAGAATAATGCAAGTAGACCGCCACGACAACCCAGTCTTATCAGATCAAGTTTGTTTTCATTGCCTTTTTTATATTAAGTAAATGAATAGATATTAAATGATTCTTTACTAAGACAATACCTGTTAATGACTCTATAGGCCAATATACAAAGAGGTTGCCGCAAACGTTCTATACTAAGAATTTTACCACTAACAATTTTATATTAAGAATTAACCATTAACTATTCTGCCCTAAGGATTTACTATTAATTATTATGTTCTAAGAATTTACCATTAACTATTCTGTTCTAAGAATTTACCATTAAATATTATGTTCCAAGAGTTTTACCATTAATTATTCTGTTCAAAGAATTTACGATTAACCCACCTGCATCGTGTCAAGTCTGTGTCTTTGAGAGCTGACCCTTGCACATAGATAACACGCTGAGCCCAGAGGGGAACCTGCAACAGCATTTTCATGGTGGTGTCCAGCTCACAGGGAGACAACATCACAACAAAGTAGTCCTTAAATAACAAGAGATTAGCAGACATTGGATGCAGAGTTCGAGTCCAGCAGCTCACAATATACAAAATACATTTGGATCATAGTGACAGAATAATGGATTTAGATCAGAGTTTCCCAACCTTTTTGGTGCCAAGCCCCACCTAAGCCTTTCTAAAATTAGTATGCACCTATGTAGTATACACATAAATTTTAATATTCAATTTTTTTTTCAACACTTCAAACGCTTATTTAAATTAAGAGACGACGATTCTTCTTTTCAATATTGAGACGACGATTCTTCTTTTCAATATTGAGACGACGATTCTTCTTTTCAATATTGAGACGACGATTCTTCTTTTCAATATTGAGACGACGATTCTTCTTTTCAATATTGAGACGACGATTCTTCTTTTCAATATTGAGACGACGATTCTTCTTTTCAATATTGAGACGACGATTCTTCTTTTCAATATTGAGACGACGATTCTTCTTTTCAATATTGAGACGACGATTCTTCTTTTCAATATTGAGACGACGATTCTTCTTTTCAATATTGAGACGACGATTCTTCTTTTCAATATTGAGACGACGATTCTTCTTTTCAATATTGAGACGACGATTCTTCTTTTCAATATTGAGACGACGATTCTTCTTTTCAATATTGAGACATAACGATTCCCATTTTAGACGATGGGTTTTTAAATTCTAGATGGCTCTTTATTTCAAATTGTCCCCCCCGTCGTCCCCCCCCCCACACACAATAAAATTTCCCCGTGGGCCCTTCGTCGGGAAACACTGATTGAGATTTAGATCATTGGTTGAACTTCAACTAGTGACAGAATAATTGAGTAAGCTCATTGGTTGAATTTGAAATAGTGACAGAATTATTGATTAAGCTCATTGGTTGAATTTGAAATAGTGACAGAATTATTTATTAAGCTCACTGGTTGAATTTGAAATAGTGACAGAATTATTGATTATGCTCTTTGGTTGAATTTGAAAAAGTGACAGAATTATTTATTAAGCTCATTGGTTGAATTTGAAAAAGTGACAGAATTATTTATTAAGCTCATTGGTTGAATTTTAAATAGTGACAGAATTATTTATTAAGCTCATTGGTTGAATTTGAAAAAGTGACAGAATTATTTATTAAGCTCATTGGTTGAATTTGAAAAAGTGACATAATTATTGATTAAGCTCACTGGTTGAATTTGAAATAGTGACAGAATTATTGATTAAGCTCACTGGTTGAATTTGAAATAGTGACATAATTATTGATTAAGCTCACTGGTTGAATTTGAAATAGTGACAGAATTATTGATTATGCTCTTTGGTTGAATTTGAAAAAGTGACAGAATTATTTATTAAGCTCATTGGTTGAATTTGAAATGACAGGATTATTGCAAATGGATTTTGGAATCTATGTGTCTTCTTCACATTACCATTTTAATTCAAAAAGCTAAAATAATTTAAGGTCGAGGTAGTTACACCACTTGATGGCTAGTGGTAACATGGTGGTAGGTAGTGAAAGTTATCACATGGAGTAAAGTTGGGCAGTAAAGTTGGTATACGAAAATTGCAAAAATTAAAAGGCAAAGAGCTGTACATTTCTAAATAGCCTTAGGGCTAGAGAGAGAGAGAGAGCCTTTTGGCACACAGAAGGCAAGGGGAGGGAGAGACAGAGAGAGTGTGTAGGCACACAGAAGGCAGGGGAGGGAGAGACAGAGAGAGAGTGTGTAGGCACACAGAAGGCAGGGGAGGGAGAGACAGAGAAGGTGTATAGTGTAGGCACACAGAAGGCAGGGGAGGGAGAGACAGAGAGAGTGTGTAGTGTAGGCACACAGAAGGCAGGGGAGGGAGAGACAGACAGAGTGTGTAGTGTAGGCACACAGAAGGCAGGGGAGGGAGAGACAGAGAGAGTGTGTAGTGTAGACACACAGAAGGCAGGGGAGGGAGAGACAGACAGAGTGTGTAGTGTAGGCACACAGAAGGCAGGGGAGGGAGAGACAGAGAGAGTGTTTAGTGTAGGCACACAGAAGGCAGGGGAGGGAGAGACAGACAGAGTGTGTAGTGTAGGCACACAGAAGGGAGGGGAGGGAGAGACAGAGAGAGTGTGTAGTGTAGGCACACAGAAGGCAGGGGAGGGAGAGACAGAGAGAGAGTGTGTAGGCACACAGAAGGCAGGGGAGGGAGAGACAGAGAGAGTGTGTAGTGTAGGCACACAGAAGTCCTTTTTGATTTATTAAATGAGACGCTAGTGGGTCATCGCTACCGTTACTGCCCCCTCCCTATTTATTCCCCCACCTCCACCAAAACCCCGGTCTGTTTTTTTTTTTAACTACCCATATGACTGAGTGCAAAAAGCTAAAAGATATGAAAAAATGGACAGAGAGAAAATCTCCAACAGCCCATCACGTGATCCATTAGCTCTGCCTCTCAGGGAAAAGTCGTCTAACGCTTTAAGGGGCCGTCCATAAAGTACAGCTCGCTCACGAGGGAACGGGGTTGGGAGGGGGTCTAAGAAAGTGTGATTGTTTTTTACAAAAAGGGGGGGGGTTGGGTGGGTGGTAAAGATCTAGTGTGACGTTTTTTTAAAAAAAAAATCATATAAATACAACCTGAGGCTTGTCAACTCCTACACGTCTTCTTGGATTGATTACATTCGTCAGTTCTTCCATACGTTGAAGCGTCGTACTATTCTAACTATCAATTAACAAACTCAACTCCTGTTCATAATAACTATAACTTTAATATCTAAGTAAATATAATAAACATCCTATCACTCCAAGGTTCCACTCAAGACTGCCGCACGGCTAAAACATACGTCACAATACTGCATAGACAATACGTCACGACTCAGCATAAAAATACGTCATAAATACAATGGCGGGAAGAGCGTTCACTAACTATAATAGTCAAGCGCGGGAAACACGTTCAACAACTAATGAACATACTATTGAGTCGCAACAATTCCTAATGAACGCTCATACTCGACATATCCCCCCTCTTTCATTTCAGATTTTACTCAGGGAGTGAAATCGTCACCAGACATACAAAATTTACATCAATTACATCAAGAAGAACCCTTCAGCCATATGAATGGTCCTTATCAAAAAACATTATTTAGGTATCACTGAAAATCAAACAGATTTATGATATACTGCAATAAAATAAACAATCCTTCGTACATAATTTTAAATGCAATTCAAGAGTTAAAAATTCATGTACCACAATAAAAATCAGACCATTAAAATTGAATGTCAACATTAATTTTCATTTTTCATACCAATAAAAATAATTATATTTGTATCTCAAAAATCCGGGCAAATACATCAATATCCTTAATGAATTTGAAACTATAACTAAGTTAATCCAAATCATATCATCAAAAAGGTGTATTTTTAAACAAAACCAATGGTCATCACTATAAAAACACAAAACTATCTAACATTATTACAGGTGAGAGATGCCTCACCACAATTTGAGCAGCCTTTATTTGCTCTTGAATAACACAGCTACAGATGGCGGGACATATCTTTTGTCCGTGGATTTCACAACTTTATGCTTCAACATGTTTATTATAATTAAAATTATCTCTCCCTGTTCTTTTGACCCGTGGTCATAACTCATGTGAAATCTCAGTTTTACAATACATATTTTTAAATTGTTACAAAATGAAAAACGAGTCTCATAAAAAAGAAACTCAAACAAATCAGGAACTTCAGGGCAATCATGGCAACAGTTCATTTTAACAGATTCATTTTGTTTAACAATACAATCAAAAGCCTCACCTCCCAACTCATGGACCTGACAACTCACCTCCTCTTGAAAATCATAAACAAGTGCACCTTTAGAGCTGGCAGCGCTCTCTTTAACACTTTCAACATTGGTTTCCAACTTAATGTTAGAGCACTCCTGGCTCTCAAAATCTCGACAACCTTCACTCACATTACTTGGGAATTTATTTTCATTACAGCTATCTGTAACAACATGTACATTTGAGCAGCCCTGGCTCACATTTACAGGTGATTCATTATCATTACAATTATCCGTAACAATATGTACATTTGAGCAGCCCTGGCTCACATTTACAGGTGATTCATTTTCATTACAGTTATCTGTAACAACATGTACATTTGAGCAGCCCTGGCTCACATTTACAGGTGATTCCTTATTATTACAGCTATCCGTAACAATATGAAAATTTGAGCCGCCCTGGCTCATATTTACAGGTGATTCATTATCATTACAGCTATCCGCAACAATATGAAAATCTGAGCAGCCCTGGCTCACATTACCTATTGATTCATCATCAATACAGCTCTCTGTATAAAATTTTGAGCAACCCTTGCTCATAACAACTTGAGATACATTTTCATTGCAGATCTCTGCAGTAACATCAAAACCTGAGCACACCTGGCTCACATTATCAACTAATTCATATTCATTACCAGTACATATCTCTGTAAAAATATCATTTGAGCAACCTTTGCTCACATTACACAGTGACTCATTTACATCACAATAATTATCAACAACAATTTTCTCTCCTTCCCCCACCTCAGGGATTACACTCACCTCATCAACCTCACACAAAAAATCAACTTCAGGACTTACATTATCTGATGGCTCACCATGAGATACAACAAAAATTATGTCCTCAGACATTAGAACAGGGTTCTCTTTGCTTTCAATGCTGCCCGTTTCCATAACCACCAGCTTATTACATACTGTGACGCTGGGACAATCCCCTACATACGTCCACCTAAGGTCATTTCCAATGACTTCCACCTTATTAAATTGTCGTCCCCTTTCTTCTTTACATTGGACTTCCTGGGATAAACCAACTACTTCAACCTCGTTTTGACATGAATCTAAAGCTATATCTGTACCCTTTGCCACTGGGGGTATGTCAACACGGTCAACGTTGTCCCTTTTAACGTCAGCTGACGGACCAATTAACAAATCACTGTCATTCCTATTAAAAAAAATTGAGTCGTCAGCAGAGGCAATAATATCATTTTGTTCC